ATTGATGTTTGAGTGTTCACTTTTGCAGTGTTGTAAGCCTCTTTATCGCAGTCGGGAAGAACACTCACGGACCAAGCCGGTACGTGGTAGTCTTTTCCTTTGAAGTTGACTAAAGCATTTGCAGTTGCGTTCACATTACCGATGAAGCAGCTCGATCCCTCGTTTGTTGTGTAAATCGTCGCCTATTTTAGGGATACAACAAACATATTAAAATGTTAATTGATGATCACGTCAATATATAACCAAAAGAAACAGAACCGGATCTAACCTTGATGGAGTTGCCAAGATCGATTCTTGATATGTTGCCGTAAGTCAGCGATTTCTCCATAGATTTTAACACTGTGTGGAGCTGTTTCAAGTGACCCCATTTAGGCTGGTTCAAGTTTCCTGAAATTAAATGTATATATATATATATATATACGTCAAGACCGGTATAATCCAACATTTTCGAGCGATGTACTAAATTATTTTGTGATGTTGTTTATACCGAATTCATCAATAGGAGCATGGTAATCATATGAAGTAGTGATGTATGGACCTCCAGCGACTCTACCAAAGTTAGTACCACCATGGTACTGTAAAAATTCACATATATTAAATAAAATAAAAATGGTTAGAAAAGATTGGTTACTAATAATAACGAATAAAAATGATCTGAATCTGACCATGTAATAGTTCTGGAAAGTTCCTCCGGTTTGGAAGAATCTAGCAACTGAAAAAGCAAGATCCTCAGCGGTTCTATAAGGATGTTTGCCTCCCCAATTCTTGAACCAGCCGGTCCAGTTCTCTGTCCACATCTTTGGGGTGCTCGGGTTGGTCGGTTCGTACTGGTCACAGTAGAATCCATTGCACGTCTCGAGCATAGGCTGAGGAGCGTTTGGTTGTTGGCACATAAGCCATGGAACACCGATGTCTAGAGAGTTAGCCATGTTGGCACACCAATCAATGTAGGCCTTACCCTCTGCTCCATACGATGAGATCACATTCCCGTATTCGTTCTCGATCTGAAATATAACCAAACAAATTAAAAAAATATCCTATTTGTATCAATATAGAGGGGAAAAAATAAGAACAATAAAACGTTTTTGATGATGATATATATGTAGTCTACATATAAAATAAATGGTTAAAGGCCGATTCTGAGTCCAATGGGCCAGTCCGGGGGATAAAGGACCAGAAGTCCGGTATAACATCCTCCATAATGTAAATGTCATACCTGAGCTAGGATAATTGGACCGCCTTGTGATGCAAAGAGCTTCTCTTCCTTCATCATTTCTACGATCTTTGTAGTGAAATTTTGCATTTCATTCTGCCATAAAGGGATTTGAAGAAAACATTTGAAGAAATTCAAGAATCCGAAAATAGCAAGAGACGATTAATCTAATAAAAGTTTGGGTTGTACCATGAAACTAGGGTTGATTGTTCTAAATTTCATGTTTGGCATATTGTGCAGCCACACCGGAAAGCCTCCATAATTCCATTCTGCGCAAACATAAGGTCCAATGCGAAGAACGGAGTAGAGACCAGCATCTTGAATGGTTTTGATGAAGCGAACAACGTCGAGATTCCCCGAGAAATCGTATTCCCTACGTTTTGGTTCATGTGCATTCCAAAAAACGTACGTCTCGATTGCGTCTAAGCCACCATCTTTGGCTTTGTTGATCAGATCAGGCCACATCTGCAACCAAAAGCCACGAAAACATTAAAATAGATGAAGAAACATATGAAAAAGTGATGTGTTAAGTATAAGTAGTTACATCAGCAGTGCTTCGTGGGTAATGAATGGAGCCTGAAAGTAGGATTCGGCGTTTTCCATTAATGGTGATGGCTCGTTCATCATGAGAGACGATGGTTGAGTTAGCCAAAGAAAATGAAGTAATGAGGATGAAGAACAATGATAAGAGACGAGTGAAGTGTTTCATTTTCATTGTTTAGGGTTGAGTTTCTACGGTAGGAAACAAGTGTTTTTGAAGGGTTTAAGTGAACTGCTTTTATAGTAGTTTTGATGAAACAATAACCTACGATTTTTTAGATTAGTTTATTCATGACTAGATAATTGAGATAAGCAAAATAAATTATATAAACGTTTATTTTTAAGATTTAATTCTATCATTTCATTAATTATTCAAATTCGGACATCATTATCGGTACTTTTTTTATTTGGATAAACTACTGGTACTTCTTTTCAATAAAAAATATATTGGTTTTATAAACATAGCATTTAAATTTTGCATTGAATATTTATGCAGAAAACTGTCGGATAGAGTTAGTGTGTTCTTCTTTTTTTTTTTTTTTTTTTTTTGATCAAAGAGTTAGTGTGTTTTTAATGAACTATATTTATATGTATATATTCACTTGCATGAAACGGTGGAAAATGATTTTTAGTTTCTCATTATATATAGATTATTAACGTATGAGTTATTTAATATCTTAATTATTTGGCTTTTTAGGATTGAATTAATAGGTTGTAGAAGAATAAAAAATCGAAATTAAACAATTTATCCAATTATAGGTTTTCAGGATTTATAGGATCTGATTATGATATCTTCTTCTTTTTCACTAATTGACTAGGTTAATTTTTTTTTTGGATAAAGGATTGCTTTTTTTTGGATAAAGGATTGACTAGGCAAAACAATTTTGGATAATGTTCGTCGAACAATTAGGGATGAGAAAGAAGAGGTTTTTTTTGTTTTAACTTTTTTCATAAAGGTTTAGATAAAGTTTCGACAAAGAAATTGTTTGGAAAATTATGTATTGATAACGTTAGTTAGATAACTTTTTGGTTTGTTTAAAAAGAGGTAAGACAAAGTTATACTGTTGCTTAAGACTTAAAATCTAACACAAAACGATAGGCTGGTAATAATACTTTTCGGAAAACTTATTAACAAAATGGCAGAGAACAAATAAAGTTTGCAAGAAATCAAAAATGTTTTTAATGATAAAATGTCGTACGTAAGAGAAAGTGAGTGAACTCATCATTCACTTATAATAACAAGATCTTTATTGCAAGCATGCCACTTATCATAGTGAGGAAAATTGGTTAAGGATCCAAATTTTGGGAAAAACTCTAAAGGAGAATTTAAATTTTCAATTTCTAAACTTAATGCTTGGTTTTAGATATTATTAGACCAAACCATGTTCTAAGAGTTTTACTAATTCTTTTTTTTGTTTTGAAAAAGAGGATATTTTTGAAAAACATAAATACCGTACGTTGTTTTAAAAGTTGTGTGAAGATTATAATACTTTCCAAAACACTCAACAAAGTAAATTTGCGACTCATTTCATACCTAAAGCTCAAACATATGTTTTTTTTTCCATCAAACAAAGTTTATAACTTTATATTTCCTTTCGACTGATTTCGACGATTTTGTTGACGGATTATTTTGGTTGTAGAACAATTTTTTATTTTTTATTTCCTATAAAATTCTCCGAAAATACATATAGGGGGATCTTAGTAGGGGAATGGGACCATATAGAAAAGGAAAATAATAGTAATGTAAACAGAAATCCGAGTCAGAAAAATAATAGTGGAGGGTACAATGTAGCTGTTGATGAATGCCACGTATCCACATCTCATGAAAGTGCTCAACGAATCCTCTTTAATTTAGCCTGTGGGATCCATTGGCCACATTGTCGATCTCGACTTTTTTTTTTTGTGTTTTGGTTTGTATTTTTTAAAGTAAATTGGTTGTCTCTCTGTGGACCACTCTTTTATTGGCACCTCACCTTCATATTCGTTTTAATATCTCCCTTATTATTATTTTTATGTCAGTATTTTAAAATCTTTTATTTGATTTTCTTACAAAAACAAATCTTTCAAATCTAAATCATTATAAGCATTGTTTAGGGTTTATGTCAATTCAGCTTATACATATAACACTCAACTAAATATTTATTTTATTGAATAACCAAGAAAACATGCATGTGTTGCTGTTATGTACAAGTTTGGGCAAATACAGATGGTTGCGTTTGGTTTAGACATTACTGCTCACAAAACGTTAATATATCTTTGTGGATGCATGATTTTATTTTTTTATTTTTCTGGTGTAGCGTTTGTGGATGGATGATTGTGATTGCATGCATTTGAAACTAATTTTACAACGCTATCAAAATTCGAAACCAAAAGCTATCCTCTCTTAGCGTTTGTGGGATATACACTAGCATGAATTCATCTCCATATCTATAACATTAATTTTATGTTTTCTTAAAAGTAAACATAAGCTTATGTATATATATATATATATATATAAAACACTATGGCTAGAGAGCTATTATTTTCTTAATGACTAAAGGAGATTAAGTGCCCATTTACTTAGATTAATAAGATTTTTAAAGTTAAAATTTAGAATAATATAATGTACTTGCCGTTTAACACCGTGTCACCCACACTATTATCACCCACACTATTATTTGTATTAAGAAGTGCCAAATTATATTTGCGTCAATGTATTATTATTAGCCTTAGTATTTTGACTATCTGATCATAACGATAATTGACGACTTACTCATGTACTTACTTATAATATACTACATTAATTCAAATAGATCAAGACACTGATTAGACAAAATTTATATATTTCTATATATCTTCTATTTTTTCTTGGATAATAACCTGGTGAGCTATTCCACTCTAGACGTTCATTAAAAAAAATCCAAAAGATTTCGATTCGAATTAGCCTCACACGCTTCGTGGCTTGTTACGTCATTAGATATTATATGGTAGTTTTGTTTTGGAGATAAACAGTAAGGGTTTTATTCGTGAAATAAGAATAGTTCACGTGATTTTCTGTAAATATTGCAATAAATAAAAAGTAGTGTACAGTTTCTCAACCCTCCCACCAACTCCACCATAAATAACACATCTCTCTCCCATCTCTTCTCTTCTCTGTGGAGGTTTGCAAACACCACCAATCTTCTCTCTTCTTCTTCTTTTATGTTTCTTCTTTTTGTTTTTGTTTTTTTCATTTAATCTGATCAAAGCCCTTCTCTCAAGATCATGCTTACCAAAAGAACCCATCCCATGATCGGAAAGATATCGGAGCTCCTCGTCGGTGTCAACCGATCCACGGCTGCTCCTTTCTTCGATGTCTTGATGACGAGCCCTAAAAGCCCACTTGATTTCAAGATTCTCCCTCAGATATCTCAAAGAAACAGCTCAAAGAGATTCTACGATGACAATCTTGGTGGCTCTGTTGGTCTAGGGATTGTAGCCGCGCTCGAGAACTCAAACACTCGTCGAATCACGAGCGTTTGTAGATCGGAACAGAACCAACCCGGCCGGTCTGATCCGGTTCAGTTCATGAACCATGGTGGAAGCACGGACAGAGAAGACGAGGAGATGTTCATAATGGACGAGGAAGATTACACGTTGGTGACATGTCACCATGGGCCTAGTGGATCTTGTAGTACAAGGATTTATGACAAAGATGGATTTGAATGTTTCTCAAGTAAGATCAACGATGATCGTCGGGAAAGACTGTTCGTGGTCGATGTCGTTACGGAATCTCCAGAGAATTCGCCAGAGTTTCAGGGTTTAGGTTTCCTCAATTCATGTTACTTGTGCAGGAAGAAACTTCATGGTGAAGACATATTTATTTACAGGTATAATTTGGGAGCATATATAAGTTTTTTTATACTAAGGTCGTATCACTCGATTTCGTATTGAATATATTCCTTTTTATGCAGAGGAGAAAAAGCGTTTTGCAGCACAGAGTGTCGATCAAGTCATATAGCAAATGAAGAAAGGAAAGAGAGCTGTAGATCAAAATTCTCAACCTCTCCTTACACCGCCGGCCAAATTTTCTCCACCGGAGTTCTAGTGACTTAGCCGGAGTTCTTTCTACTGATGAGTTTATATAAATATGGGGGATCGGGGGTAAATAAAATAATTAGGCATAAATAATCGGCAAAGAGAATAAATTAGCATATATAGACTATGACATGTATGTCCATATTATGGTGGAAACGAAACAACATCGAGAAATTTTGATGAGGGGGGAAATGAAAGTAGAGAGAGCTAATTCTTGATCGTTAAGCATGGCGAGAAATAGAATAATGCTCTTGTTTTTTTTTTTTTTTTTTGGTTCTTGTTTTGTTTTCTGTACTTTGTGATAATTAACATATTAAATAATTTTGAAGTTTAAAATATGGCTTTTCCTTTTTCTTGTGTCCGTTCTTTTAATGGATGTTTTGAAAGGTGAATAACTGCTCCAAGCATCAGATCAAATAATTGAAGCGAATATTAGCAACAACAATGGAGCAGTGAAAATTGTTAAAAGAATTCGAATATTATACGTATAATTTGAGCATAATTATGATGTATCGTTTTTATAGTATATAATATAATAAAATCATAAAAATGGTTATTGCCGTGTTGGTTTGTGTGTGGTTTATTCATCAATCAACTTGTGAAAGATACGAAAACTAAAAAATAGTCGTAATAAAATAATATTGACCCATACGGAAGAAGCCAGCACTGAGAATAAGCCCAAAAGAGGGACATCATTGCTGAGTGGTTGGGGCCCACCATAAAAGTCTTAATTATTAATTAACTAAATTAAGTACAATGTATAGGAAGAAGAAGACAAAACCTAATTTCTTGTGGTCCTTTCATTAAAATTGACTTGCATGCAAAAATTTAATATGTCTTTGTTCGTATTCGAATCGAGTCTCCTACCCAATATTCAAGCTTTTGGGTCCATTAATATGTTGCTCTTTATAAATCTCCTTACATATAGTATATGGATTGCTTGTGTTTAAATTATACGCTTTTGATGGTTTAGATTCAGCGAATATATATGAAATCTTAAGAAGTGTATAATCATATATATATAAGGCAAAGAACGTAGCTGCATGTGATAAACTATCATGTCTTAAATTGTGAAAATGTCACTTAAAACATGAACTTTGCAATTTCGTTAAAACAAAACATGAACTTTTTTATCTAGAGAATTAAATATCTATTTTTATGTTGACTTTCAATTAAATCGTCAAGTTTTGTTGATTTCGTCAATTGAAGCACAACGTTAATTGGATAAACAAGCAAATCAGACTTGCTGTTAATGAAATCCGTTATTGTATTAAACGACATTGTTTTAATCAAATTAAACTATATACAAATTTTCTATATGTAAGTCTATGACTATGAGATGAATTGGATTTTTCCCAAAGGATAATGGTTAGTGTTAAAAAAAAAACAGTTTTCGATTTTTCCTTCAAGAAAAATAAAAAGTGAATGTTTACATTAACGTTTTTCTTTTGACTGAAAGTAAAAATATTTGTATCTTTGTAATGAACAGTTGCGATTTTCTTATAGAACAGAAAAAGTTTTTTTTTTTCTTTTTATAATTTCTTTGCAAAGATAGATCACTCCAACCACAAAAGAATAATAGAAACCCTCCCAAGAAATAAAACCTTTTTTCCTATATACGTGCCCAATTTTTTTCGTCCTTGTTTCACACTTAGCTTCGTCGTTAGTAGTATTACATCTACAGATTCCCAAGGTTTTCTCTTTAGAGTTTGATTGTTCCAATCGTGATTGCATGCGTTCTAAACATCTCATCAAGTTTTTACTTGTTCTATCCTTCTAACAGTTTCCCTCATGTCTAATCTCTCATCTGGATTACTTGCGATACAAGCAGCCCCAACCCGCAACAATTCCACCATCTGTCGCATTGATTCAGTATTGTTTACTATCTCCGGATCGATAAGTTCTTCTTCTTTTTGCTCCGCAACCGAAGATTGTACCCATTGAACTATATCAGTCCCGCCTTTACCATGGTTTAAGTATTGAGAAGGGAATTTCCCCGTCAAGATCTCTAGAATTATAATTCCGAGGCAGTAGACGTCTGATTTATGCGAGACCTGTTGTGTCTGCGCGAACTCGGGAGCCTTGAAAGCAAACAATGCTTGCGATGCGTTGCTTGGTTGGAGAAGAGGTAAGAACGCGTAATCGCTGATCAAAGGCTCATAGGTCTCGCTGAGGAGAACGTTGCTGGATTTGAGGTTACCGTGTGGGAGATCGTAGGACGCAAACTCCTCGTGCAAGAACTTCATTCCGTGAGCCACTCCTTGGATGATCTTCAATCTTGTTGCCCAAGTTAGCTCGGAATGATATATCCCACGATCACCTTGAGAGAAGATACCAAAGTTTCATTTAGCTTCAGTAATTAAATGTTTTTATCCACTGCTCTTTTATGTTGATCCTAAAATGTTTTAACTGGCAAGAAAACTAAACCCTCTTTTGAGAGGTCTTAGGAAAAGGAAAAAAAAATAAGCATTTCGGGTTACCATGTAAAACGTAAAGCAAGCTGCTTTTAGGCATGTATTCGGAGACTACAAGCTTCTCTTCGCGGCGGTAGTGATAGGCTAAAGGGGTAAGAATGTTAGGGTGGCGGAGTTTCCCGAATCGTCTCATCTCGACATCGAAAGGTTCACGTGCAAGTTGATTCATATCCCTAATCCTCTTCACCACAACGGATAATCCAGTGGTCATCACAGCCTTGTAAGCTGATCCAAGGCTACCGTTGCCAAGCACCTCGGCTGCAGCCTTCATCAGATCGGGTAAACCAAAGGAACCCTTTTCCGTATTCACCATTATAATGTCACCCATCCCGCCACCTAGAGCTCCTCCTCCGTTACCACCTTTACCAATATTGTTCGACAAGCCTTTCTTGGTGGAACCGCCATCCGCGTGCCCACCGCGCTTCCTGCTTGAATCTGTAGATCTTTTCGCGGTCGTGGATGAAGATTCGGGTATCCTGACTTCCACAGCATCGTTGTCGCGTTGGTTGTCGAGCATTCGAAAGTCAGGGTTCTTCTTCTTATTTCGCTTCTTTATAATTCCCACAATAATAAAGAACATGAGAAGAAGCGAGATCGACACCAAGATTGCGTGTACCGCGGCCGTGTTCGAGGTTTGTGGTACCGAGGATGGTGCTTTCGGGGTTTGTCCTTCCCCTTCGGTTAGGTTAACATTCTCACATTCAACGTCCACCAACGCCCCGCACAAGTATTCGTTTTCTGTCAAATTCGCAACGAGATTTTTCCTATCGGCGATGCTTTCCGGGACGGTTCCTTCGAGTTGGTTGGATGAGAGGTCAAGGACTTTAAGGTTCTTAATGTTGCCGATCTCTGGAGGTATATCTCCGGTGAAGTTATTAACTTGAAGGTGAAGCTCCTCGAGTTGAGGGAGCTGTGTAATGGAGGAAGGGATATTTCCCTGGAATTTGTTATTATCAAGAAATAGTCGCTTGAGCTTTGACATGTCCTTGAAAAAATCGTCACGGATCTCGCCGGAGAAGCTGTTGTTAGAGAGCATGAGAGACTTTAGGCCGCGGAGTTTGAAGAAATGCGGGAGAGGACCAGAGAGGAGGTTGTTGTCAAGCCTGATCGTCTTTAGATTTGGGAGATCCTTTAAATCATCGACCGTGATGGTTCCTGAGAGACCAAGCTGTGTGACGTGAATGCCTGAGACTGTTAGACCCTTTTGGCAATAGATCCCGAACCATTTCCCACTACAAGGATCTGTTCCTAATCTCCATGAATTTAGGTCCCCTTTGGTTATATTCACCGAGCTCTTGAAGCGCACAAGCGGTTCGGACTCGCTCACGTGCTGCAAAGAAGGGGAGATTGAAAAACAGAAGAGGAGGATGAGGAGGTAGAAACCAGGAGCAGCAGCCATGGATTGAAGAGAGGAGATGCTCTTCTTCTTTTTCTTCTTCTTGTTGATATGTTATGTCTTAAAACAAGGAAGTTGTTTTTGATATTGATGATGATGATGTATAGTTTGTTGAGAGGTGTGGTTTTGTTTAGATTGTGTTTGTTGTTCCAAAGTTTGGTCATTGTTTGTTTCTGAGGGTTGAGAAGGGAAGGGTGACATTTTTTCTTTGATAGAATTAGTTGTCAAAGTTTAGACTTTCTTTTTGCCAAAAATAGCTTTTTGTTGTAATTTTTATAAACCTATTTGTTTGTTTCTGAGAGCTTAATCTTAATCTTTTTGATCAGATCTTGAAACTTAATCTATTTCCTTTTCAACAGATAAAAAGTCTCCTCACACTGTTATAGAAACTGACATACCTAATTGCAATTACTAAATTTAGTATCTTAAATTCGGACGAATTAGAATAGGTTTCCAATTGGTTCGTATGTCTCAGGGTTATTTGCGCACATCAAAGCAGAATCCAAACGATAGCACATGAACATTTCAGAATTAACTCTAAAATTTTCTTTTAATCGATCAAAGACAAATTTCAAGAGTTAGAATCTGTTCTGTAATATATGGTCGAAACCAAACCCCGGTATGGTTATGCTAACGACAATACGTCTGTGATACCCAGAGCTTTGGTTTTGTACCAGAATAAATACTAACTTACACCTCAGGCCGCTAAAACTTTAATGTGTGTTGTAAAACGCTATCAAAGGCCGGCTATGATTTGCCTCAAGCCCTTTCTCTGTAACTTGAAAACTTAGATCATTGCAAAAAGGATTTCGTTCCATGTATCAGGAACACCGGGCAAGCACCAATGGAGGCAATCCTGAACTCCCGGAGCAGCCGAGATACTGAACCGTGATATGTGACCTTCGTCTCTAATATGAGATAAGGCTGTTATGTCCAAAAGCTTAACCCCTGTACCTTTCACTGCACGACCCGCACTGTAATCGCTTGACTCCTCTTGCAAAACTTCTTTCCCGATAGACATTGGGGTTGTGTTATTGCAGCTCCCTCCAGTGTTCCATTCCCCGCCCACGAAATGTCTCGGTGAAAGGCTTCTGTAGAATGCCTTGAGACCGGGATGGAGAGGGAGTTGCGAGTTAACCCAACTAACTGTGCTGTGGATTGTGAAATTCTTGGCGTTCCCAAGTGCGGCTAGCTTCTTGTTAGTGTTGGGAACGCCATTAACATGCATCACCCATCTGTTACCGTTGAGCTTCCCTCGGTTCCAATGGTGACCTGTGTTCATTACCAAGACATTGATCTTATGAAGGTATTGGCGTAAAAACGCTGGTGGGCGATCGAGATGCATAGCATGTTCAGTTGCGGGGTCAGTGATGTTGAGTGGTTCTATGTCGCAGAGTGTAGATGACCAGTGGTATAGGACAGTTGTGTTTGTTTCTGGGAACCTGTAAGCCCAGCCACCAGGACGAGCTCCACCTTCGGGAGTTATGAACCCAAATTCTGGTCCCACATCAAGGACATCGAGCCTCTCTTTGCCTCCCGTGATCATACACATCATAGATTGAAACTGTTGTCTTCCCAACGAGTCTCCAACAAAGGCTAGGGTTTTGTTCTTCATCCTGAAGGCATTTGTAAAATAGAGTCACGCACTGTTACTAAGGACTTGATGGGAACACTTGACTACGTCTATGGATACATGGATTTAACACATGCATAAGTTGGAATGAGATATAGGAAATTTTGTTTACCTTCTCAGGAACTTGGAACCCTCAAATTCTTCCATAGAGCAATCTTTAGGTTGCCATCTTAAACTTTCAAAGGCAAAGTCTGTACGTTGCATCAACCTGCACGCCCACATTGAAGCAAGCCACTGTTTGCATTGAGATCCTGAATACAAAGGACGGTGATTGTCCACAACCCATTTCCCTTTCGCATAATTGCAAGCTGGGGGAAAAAATTAGAAAACAACCAATTATTTCACATAGGAGGGAATCATACTAAAACAACATCAATACGGTGTAGAAGATTTATAACTAATAGTTATACCGAGATGCAAATAGATTAGTCATATCCAGTTTCAGAATAATGAACACTCTTACTTTCACGCATCATAAAACTGGGATCTATAAAACAAGATTCTCTACCTTGATTCTTGATGTGAGCTGTTGAAGTACTACCATCAGTCCTCTCTTCATCTGATGCAAGAATATTACTCTCTGGATCTGAACTAGTCTCTTTAATATGTGTTGTCTTCCTAGCTTCGCCCTCACCAATAGCAACCTCATGTTTCACCTTTTCTAATTTAATTTCTTCTCTAGTTGGCGTCTTCCGATATTTTGGCTCACTTGCAATAACTTCATGTTCCACTTGTTCTACTTTTTTCTCTCCAATAGTTGGAGTCTTTCCTTGATTCATATCACTTACAGTAGCTTCTTCCATCTGTTTCTCTTCTTCTTCTTCTGTATCTTTATTATCGGGTGAATCCTCTTTGCTTCCCTCTGTCATAGAACAAAGGAAATTTTTTGTGCCATGCTTAGTTCCCCAAATTCAGAATACAACAGACAGGGTGCAAAAAATACGTTTGAGCAGCTTACAAGATGCATGAAAGAGCTGCAGTAAATGCATTGAACATTACCTTTGTTTACAAATGGAGTAGCTAATGAATAGCTGTCTTTAGTTTCAGTATTCAGCGCAGTAGGTAGTCTCTCAACCTTTTCTTCTGCAAATGACAAAGAACTAGGTCAGATATACCCCCAAAATCTAATTGTACAATTCGTTTCAAGAACATCTACAGTGATTTGTGAAACATAAACAGGAGAAAAACAAGTGAAAGAAAAAATATTGATACTTTTGGGGAAAAAAAACTCTAGGCCTACGAAACATAAATACGGGAAACTAGAAGTAACACATTTCGCTGTCAAGCAGCACTGCAGCCTCAATGTAAACATTAAGCAAAGTCTCTATAATATTGTTCCAGCATTCAAACGGCCTAACAAAATGTTGCCAGAAAGAGAGCTTAGTGTCATAGTTAAACCTGATTGCAGCTTTAGATAGTGACTTTCAGGTGGAAGAAAGGCCGAGGTTGGCGTTTTATCCCATGTCCATATGACTACGGTTGCACAAACAAGCACAACAAGCATAACAGAGATATCCCTAGCCCTTCGTCTAAGGGCTCCTCTTTTCATCCTATACAAATTCCAATAAATTAGCAGTAAGAAATCATTCTGTCACACTAAATAATAGATTACTAAACCAAAAAAAAAAAAAAGATGATAAAAACAAATAGGATCACATCACCCAGCAAAAATTAAACCTTTCTTATTAGCTTGGACTGCTTAGTTACATACGCCGTAGCAAAAAATCTACAATCAACTAGAAGATTTTCTACCTATTTCTATGGAGGGTCATGCTTCTCGGCGTTCCAGAGAAACTTTCGTTCATACTAGATCAAGGCATATGTCCAGCTAGCTCGAGGTTCAGTGTGATCCTTTCAGAACAATTAGTTGATCAACACATTTATGAGTAGATTCCTTGCCTAATCATATAAGATTATTGGTGTTATAGAAAAAAAAAAAAAAAGGATCCTAATCCTTTCAATATTACCGTTAATGACAAAAGACAAAATCCTAAACGTTGATGATGTTGATCCCATCACAAGAGACACAAACCCAGATATTTTGCTATGAGAGAAACATGGATTAATACCCCAAAAATGCATTTAGATAGATATAGACAGAAAAGTTTACATTTTTAAGAGTGAAACTGATGTGCAAATCATATACACAATTAGCTAAATTAACATCTCCACCTACCAAAACACTGTTCCATTAGAACTAAAACTGGTAAAAAAAACCAAAAACAAAATCCACGCATTACTTGAATTGATAAATTCACTACAATCATATCAAAGTTTTAGAAAATGACGCAATATTGCATAATCGGAAAGGTTTTTGATCCTAATCCCAAACCTAATTCAAATCTCAACGCAACTAAAACCATTACCTCAATCGTACTAATTTAAGGAAAGTCTTAAATCACACCCAACATTCGGCAAAAGGGAAATTTTCGAAATTCTGCCACGATAAAACCCGACAGTTTATGAGACGAAATGAAAACCTAAGTAGATCAGATCGAAGCGGTGAAGCAAAATGATTATGAACATACCTGGAATCTGAGATAACAGATCAAATACAAATCTCCTCCTCGTCAATCAATTCGAGGGAAAAGAATTTGGGAAGAAAGTGAATCGAAGGATTCCGATGATTAGACACTCTTTTGAGGTTCGGCGATGATGAAATCCGATTCACCGGAGACGCCGTACGGAGAGATGCGTGTAGGAGGAAATTACTACGTTCGAGAAATCAAAATCAAATAAAAAAATCAAATTCAAATAAATTTGGGAGAGAAAGAGAGAGAACAATAATTAAAAAAAGGCTTTGAATTATTTGATGACCCTAATCACTTGTCGGCCGTGGAATCTTATTTTTTAATTTTTTGCTTTGAACTTGGGTCATTTGTTTTTTTAGAACTTTGCAGATGGAAACTAAAATAACTTTAATTATAAAAAGTTGACCAAAAAAAAAAAAACCAAAATAATTTGAACAATTTTATATTTTTTACTTGTGACATCAATTTTTTCTTTGACATCTGCTAAATGGCCACATGTTATTTCTCACTAGAGAACATAAACCTGATTTAGTGAGATGTCAAGAGAGGTTTGATTAAATTTGTCTAAAGGAATGAGAACGCACGGTGAAGGGAAGGGAGTTTAGAGACACAGAGAGAGGTGGAGGAATAATTTTTAGTTTCTACACTTAATCCTAATTAGTAATTAGTCTAACATTGCAACATTACCTACTCACATGCATGCTAATTGCTAACCATGTATGCATGCACCACTCAAAATGGCCCAATAGGGCCCAAATAACATTTCTCCACTCTCGAGCTACCCATAAATTTCTAGAAAGAAAAAAAAACCCATCAAAAACTAAACAAATTCCACAAATGCTCCTAAAAACACCAAAAATCACAAATTCACTTAAATCCATTTGTTTTTGTCAAGTAAGAATGATTTAATAACCAAAAAAAATTGATTTTTGAAAGATTTTTCCCCCTTTAATTTTTTTTATATTATAGAATATTCAAGTGTGAAGTTTGTTAGTACAAATATGTTGTTCTGCAAATCTATTTACGTAAAATCCAGATCCCTTATATATTAATAGAGAAGCACTTTATAAAATAAACCTTATCTTGACGTGTTATTAACTAAACTGCCATGCTGACATGTCGCTCTCAGAGTGAATTTTCACCCATTTAAATTATTACCCAAATTTTACTAGACTATTTACAGATTTTGCCATTAGTCTTAATACATACATATATCATACAAATAACAAAAAAACGAAATTATAATTAAAAAGCAAATAATTAGGCAACTGATATCATATTTATATTTAACAACAAATCACGGGATCTTTGTTTATTTATATTAATAATCTATTTTCAATAATTAAAAAGGAAAAAAATTGTGTTTATCTTATATTAATAAATTTTTATATTTATATTTTTCTTTATATACATTTATATAAATCTTCTCTAGCCGATGGGTAAAAAATCTTTATATATATATATATATATATTTATGCTTATATTTAAATGATAAAAGATATACATTTTGTTCAAGAATCTCGAATTCAAAACTACAAAATCTCTAAATCTTTCATAAAATTTTATATCTATTGTACTTAAATAAATAAGATAATCTCTTTTCTATACATGTTACGGATACTTAAAATCCGATTTTTTTGGAGTGGTTCTAACTTTTCGAAGAAAAACATTATAACCACATTTATATATAAACCAAAATCTGGCCACATTATAACCTCTTTTTTTTGTCAAACGGTCACATTATAACCATTTCGTAAATAATCCATTCATAATATAAGAATCTTATATTTGGAACACTACAAAATCTTAACTCGGAAACTATCAAATATCATCTTTGCTAAATTTTTGGATTTCTTATACTTAAATAATAATAAAAAAATTATTTTTATATTACAAAATCTCGAAATCTTTAAAACATACGGAAATACATATTGCCATAAATGGTAACATTTCGTCAATCATTTCTTTATCACGTTGAAGCTTTATTCAAGGTTCAAATATTCCACGGGTAAAACGTATTCTTATATAAATAGTCCCAAGTTTGAATAAAACAAAAAAAATTTATTACATGTTACGTTTTACACAAACGGATCTTGGATCCCGGATACTTGAATCACTTCATCCCGCACATAGTGCGGGTTGTTATCTAGTTGGTATATATTTTCATATTTCAGATTTCTAAAGTGTGCAAATTATTACGTCGAATTATTCGATATAATTTAATTTATCCATTGAATTATTAGAATGCTCACACCAGAATTTGTTGCACGTTCAAATATTACTTCTGAAAAATATGCTCACACCAGAATTTGTTGTACACTTGAATGATCTGGAAATCACATGGTGCCAATTTTTTTTTTCTTTTTTTTTTTGTTATACATGTATTCCAAAAAGACCACAATGTTTGCCGCAAGTAGGTAAGAAAAATGAAATCTGTTTTAACGGTCGAGATTAGAAAGAAAACATAAATCTAATAAGTGAGTGTTCTTATAATAAACAAGAAGATACTCAAAGAGTTGAGCTATCATTCATGTTTGAAGACAAAACCACGCCAGCTGTTGCAAGTCGATTTTGGTACCACATTACACATAATTGATATATTACATTTGTAATTGTATTGACGGATCATAGTAATTCTATAACTAAAAATTTCAAATCGTACTACTCAATTATTTTGTATTTCTTGTACCAACATATATAGAGAAACATAAGTGAGAGCGATAGAGACAAAGAACATGTTGCTTCTTTAAGACAACGATTCGAAAACGTAACTATTTATGATTGGTTATCATCTTCCTTGTTTAATTAAGAAAACGATTCTAAAACGTAATTAACTATGAATCTGTGATTGAACATCAAATCAACTGTTTTTTCTTGGTGAATGGCAAGAAAAAGGAAGATAAATTAAATAAATGGCGATTAATGGATGCCAAGCTAATTATTGAAACAACAATTACGGAACAAAATAAATATTTTGAGATCCGTATGGTGTTTTTATTTAATGTAGACATCTAACTTATCAATTTTTCTTTCTAACAAAATAAAATTATAAACTCTTAACATTTATCTACCATATGGACTCCATAACAAAACTAAATCCTTAATTCGAAATTATAAACCCTAATATTATGTTATGTGAAAAAATTCTTCTTAGCAAAACATTTTAAGCACTAAAAAAACTCCTTAGTCCGGTAATCACATGCTTATACCGGTTCAGCTTCACTTATGCTGCAATTGCTTCATGAAGTTCGTTGCTTCAACATCATGTTACATAAATTCTCGAATATCTTTTGTTTGTATCTTTGTTTCTTAACATCAATCTTTTTGTTTTATAGAATCTACATATTTGTTCACTTTCAAACATATATATTGGAAAATTTTACATACTATACATGATATCGAATCTCACCGAAAAAATGGTATCTGATCTCACTCCCAAAGTATATAGAGTTAAATCGACTTATAACCAACCATCATACTCGTAACGAAAACTACAATATTGCCATTACAATGCACGAGCTTGTTAGGTGCTTGTCTTCAAATCAATCCTACAAGTCAAAGGTTCTGATTTAGTTACAATATCGCCTAGAGTCAGCCAAACGTAGCAAACCTCTCTTGCTTGACTTGATCAACGTTTATCAGAAATAACGTTTTGTTCTTTGATTTTTATATGGGGATATCATATTTATGTTGTCATAATCTAATAGATTCTTATAACGTGGCATACATATACAGTATAACATTTTTATGTTTTTATCTTCTATTTTTTTTTATCACTATAGATATATATTTTAAGACCAAAGACCTTATCAGAAAAAAATTCATGGGGTATTCAAGCTAAAGCTGAACAGAGTTCAACAGACTTTAAAGGAGCATCAACTTCATATAAAGATTTAATTTCCCGCTAGGAAATTAATTACTATTCTGAGCCATTAATTGGTTTAATTTGCTACTAAAAGCATGACTCAGGGATTAGTAATTAACTACTAAAAAAAGCATTTACTGAATTGAAAAGAGAAAAAGAGTTTTGAGAAAAGATAAGAAATGAGAACGAACGAAATCGAGAGAATTCCAAATTGGCCAAGGACGAATATCGTTTTCCAAGCAGAAAGCTGCAGTACTTTTAAAAACTTCTGTTGCACGTTCCTCAATGTGTAGGTAAATAAAATTCCACAGTAATGTAAAATAATCTTATGAAATATTGGTACGATTATTTATCATATAGTTGTCACATGTGATGGCAGTATATATATTAGTACAATGTCTGTATGGCTTACTATTTAAAATGCATAGGGGTATTCTAGATTCTTCCAAACACTAGCCACCATCGACTTCCCCTAAGATTGTACCTCCAAATAAACGGTGGCCGCCGGCCGGGAACTTAGGCTTCGATGGTTTCACATAAATATTTATTAATGTTCACAATTTTTATGTAATTTTATCTTCACATTTACATAAAATAACATTTTGATATATAAATTTTAAGATGCATTAATATATATATATTGTATAAAATGCGAACACATATACATATTTCTGTTTTTGTTGACAAATTTTTTCTGAGCCAGTACACCGAAAAAATAGGTATAACATGAAATATGGTAATCTAATAAGTACCACTCGAAGTTGTGTTCTTTAAACTTTGTTTTTGGTGTTTTTTCTAGTCGAGCTAGCAATACTTGGTAAATGCATCTTTTCGTCTACATATAGCGTTTTTACGTTTACAGCTAACAAAATAATTTTTGCTTAAAGTTTATATACATTGGATATAAACATAGCGCAAACAGAAGCGCAACAAACAATCAAGATCTTTTAAGCCTCTATGAATTTATTAATGTATCCCATTATTAGACTGATTTTTCATGTACAGACTTGGAAATCTGGTTAATTTCTCCCAATAGGATGTTAACCAAATTCATACTTCACCAATTGAGTATTGCTTCAAGGACTAGGTACCTTCTCAACTATTGCCATTGAAAAAACATGGACCACCTCTTTTCTTGTTTTTCAAGCCGTTTTACATTCACATCGATTCTTCGACCGATAACCTCAATTTCAGGTCCACATTTTATCATCCTCTATACCTATTGCTTCAACTTCCAAGCAACATATATTCCCATTATACGTATCACTGATGAACGAAGTCAGAGTCATTAGTAAGTAGCAAGTAACAAATGCTTCTCTTTAAATCACAAAGCTACCTCTTCGCCTCACAATGAGTTCAAAAAGTTTCACTTGTTGTATCACTTGTTGCCACAAGTTGGACTATTTGCTGATCATTCTTATTGATTCCATTATAATATGCTAACTGTCTCTCTCTTTCGGTTATATAATATACGAGTACAAAGAGAATCTAATTTAATCTTCTAAGGACTAAGATTATAGACTTAACTAATTACAAAGATATGATATAACAAACTGAAAATATATAGTAGATTCGATGAATTGTGTTCGATATACACAAGTTTAGATTAATACATTCAAGTGAAAAAATGAACATCGTCTTGTTTTTTATTTGCAAGATTGCATAATTATTTTACGAATTTATAACTTACTCAAAACAAAATTCAATAATTATCCATCCACACCCACATGCATAATTTCAAGATACAAACAAAAGGTTTCTCGCCACATTATCTCACTCACATGAAGCCAAATCCTCCTCCAACCTCACATTATTTAACATACACATAATAATAATTTTCTCAAACAAAATAAAAATAAAATAAAAATAACAGAGACATATGTCTCCAAGTATAATCTATATATACATCCAATAAAGACCACCTGTATCTGTATATGATATAACCTTAAAGCGCCAGAGACTCGTAACAGAGAATTTTCCACACAACAAATCATGTCATCATCATCAGCCACCGATATCAACGCAAAGCCGTCGTCTTCGTTGCCGGCGGTGGAATCTGTCACGTGCGACACGTGCGGTTTCGCTGAAGAGTGTACGCCGGCTTACATCAACCGTGTCAAAGAACGGCACAAGGGACACTGGCTTTGTGGGCTTTGCGCGGAGGCGGTAAAAGACGAGGTGGTTCGATCTTCTACTCGTATCTCCGTCGAGGAAGCTCTCCGCCGTCACACGACGTTTTGTCACCGTTTCCGTTCTTGGAGTCCCGACGAGGAGGAAGATCCGATATCCGTCATTGGTAGGATTTTACGGCGGAGCCTTGACGGCTCTCCACGGAGAACCACCACGAGGACTAGCTCGAGCGGAGCTTTGCCGGGGATCGACGGTGTAGAGTCACGACGGTCGCTTCTCCGATCTGGGAGTTGTTTCCCGTCTCTCTCTGCTTAAATAATCTTGTTAGTTTTGTAAATTTGTTTTATATTTTTTGTTTAAGATTATTTGCATCATTATTTGTATTTAATTACATTTTAGAAGGAGAAGAAAGAGTTGGAATCCGAGGAATTAAATTTCCTATGACGTCATCCTTTCTTCATAAGTGAGTTAATAAAATGGTGTAAAAATGAGCAAAGCTCATTAATTAGTTCAATTAAAATAAAAAATGAGTAAAGCTCATGTTATGTGTTCTTCATTTTGGATTGCTTAATTTCTTTTATTGTGCTTAACCACAAATGCTTTTACAGAGATAATCTATGAAATACATAAATATTCAAGTAGCTATAAAGAGCAGAAAAAACAAACAAATATGTATGGCATTGATATTGTTCAAATTCGGTAGGATGCATGTTGTTGACAATTAAAGAAAAATTAGTTTAGATTTATAAAATTAGTGAGGCAATGCTTGTTTTAGATAATGTTAATTCAAAATCTTACCAACTTAAATATCAAGAAACTTTCCTTTGCTTAATCATCATCGTCAAGATTTTTCTTTTGATTTCATATCTTAACTGTCGCAGCTAGCTAGGTCTGGTCATATAATATGTCCCATTTGATCCGATTGAGTTTGACTAGTTGATCTGATTTGTTTTTTTGGTTTTAAGGTTGATAAAGTTGATCTGACTTGGCATTGATTAAAAAAACTGATGCAACACGGCCAAATTCAGCCGATGAACATGGTTTAACCGCAAATCAAATTGTCGGTCCGGTCGAAGTTTTTTTCTCATAACCAAATATTGCTTTGATCCAACCCAACAAACTAACTAATAATTGGGCAAAACTCCATTAAAGCCAAATTAAACCCAATATGTGGTTAGTTTCCCGAAAGAAAAGGAGGGCAGAAAAATGAAGCAGTGTGGGTCGTCAATGGAATTATACACTGGAAACTGAAGCGACTTATGTAATGGATGTGAATTCTGAGAGAGAAAACCATTACAATTTTTGTTATTTGGATGCATCAGCATCATCATTAATCATGCATGCCACTTATATTTTGCCTAACTGATGTACACACAAAGTTCAAAAAAAAAAATTCAAACAAACAAAAGGACATAAAATATATATATGTTTCAATTTTACCCATGCATTTTATGTTATGAACTCCAATAGTGCATAATTTATTTCTACAACTTGTGTTTCTCATAAAAGATTTGAATTAAAATCCATTATAGTAAAGTGCGGATAGTCATACTCTAGTGGTAGAGCCCAAAAACCATATAACTTATTTTTATAAGATGAGTTTTTAATCTAAAACAACTTGTGAATATACTATTGAGGAATGAACTAATAATTTTTCCGGCGACTTGGAAGTAATCAATTTTCAACTATACATGCCACAATTATCACTTAATCATATATTATATATCGTCAAAAGATATATTTACAAGATATGTTGTCTAGTGAGTAGTACCTCTGTTTTTGATGTGTTACTATACACATTCAAACTCGGAAAAAATGGTGATTAAAAAAAGAAGGAATATACTCCAAATGGTCACTAGACTATTGAAGAAGATCAGTACACCACAAACCATTTTTCTTATCATGATCACTACCATATATATTGCAGTATTTGTATGGTATCCGCGTAGCTGGTTAGCCCTTAGATTAGCCTAACACCTAGTAGTCTCTTAGATCCAGTTGAAAAGTATACATATGAACGTTTATATGAATGCATGGCACATGCGGATATGTCCAGCTTTGGTATGATAAGGAGACAGAAATGTTCATTTGTTATGTTTTCACGTCACTTCCCTATTTGTGTGGCGTAATGGGTCCTTCCTCTTCACTTTGTTGCCCACTTGTCCTATACACTCTCGAACTTGTCATTTTGTTCTCTATTTGTTTCTTAATTTTTTTCTAAATTTTTTAAAAAATAAAGACAATTTCATGTTTTTTTTTCCCTTAATTTAATGGTCAATTTTTGTTGCTTTTGTTAAAAATATCTCGAGCCCCTTTCACGAATATCTTTGAGTCTACCCACCAAGATTTGTACCTACCATGATCCATGTATTCTCTCTTAATTGAAAAAAAAAGGCAAACCAATTGTAGTAACAAAAATGCTTGGATTTGAATTTTGAGGTATAGTTATCCGAGATTCATCTATGAGATTAAGAAATGAGAATTATTGGTCGTTTACGTGCTCTTTTTTTCCTCTGTTTCTGTTTCATTTATTTTCAGGGACTTTAACTCGTGCTTTTGATGTAACCAACAAAAAACTTTATTAGAAAATGAGTTAGCAAAAGGCCAAGTGAGTGGGGAAGTGTTATTTGGTGTAAGGAAGAGAAGCAAGAAACGCGAGAGTAAAAGGAGAAGTGGATTTTCCAAACATTGTGCAAAATGGAGGAAGTCTTTGGAGAACCCTTTGGACTTGTGGAGTGCGACGGTTCAAGTCAGTTCTGAGTTTCAAGAGAGGTCTTTGCTTCTTCTTCTCATCAGATACTTCTTCCTCCTTCTTGTAAAGTTTGAGAACAAAGCTTGTTGGTGCCTTTTTACCACCTGCGAATTGAATTTGATGCCATCCTTCTTCATTGCAGCTTTTCTCGCCTCGTGCTATCATCAACTCTTCTTCTTCCTCCTCACCTACTTGCATTGTAAAGTCTTCTATTTCATCCATGTCAATGCGAAGTGTCCAGCGCGATGAGCCTCCTGTGTCCATTGAAACCGCTATGACACTTCTCTCGTCTCTTCCTTTGTCGTTTATGACACGCAGAACTGGAATATCGTTCTTGTCCCATCCAACCTCTGCGTCCTTCTTGGTAACACAACTGTACTTAGCTTCAAAACTGACAAAATCAATCTTATTCTCTCTGCCACATCTGAACCCTTCTTTGATTTGCTCTGCTTCCATGTTTAGGTTTCCAGGAGTGTTTGAGAATAGTGATATGAATGCCACTTGATCTTTCCCGCTTGTATCCACAACATGTACTACCTACATGTGTACAACCATATATCGAAAGGCTGAGTCGCATAGTGTTTGAATGTCTTAAAAGTAGCAACACAAAAGAATTTAATTAATTCCACTGGAACGAGAATCAAGGGACATACATTTACTGCTCTTGCAGTATCCTCCGTAAATGCAGGAAGAACACCAGAAGATACAAGAGCAAGAGAGAGTGCTGTGATAATGCATAATGCAGTGACAATCGACTTTTTTGCACCTGGAGACCATAAGTTTGTCAAGAATTATTAATGCTTAATCAACCAAAAGTTTGTAATTATTGTGATAAGATACATAACAAAGTTTTGAAATAGAGGATTACCGGAGAGGTGTATATAGGCCAGCAGGTATACCATGGTCAGACTTATGAAAGTAGCAATAACAACAGCGATCAATGCATTGCCTAGCCATTCTGGAGTTCCGCCTGGGTTACTACACACCAAAATACCCAAAATAACAACTACAATATAAGGTTTGTTGAATGCTAAGAAGAAAGAGATTCACAGAACTAATAATTCCCATAGCAGAAACAGAGTTCTGACTTTTTTCTTTAGTCGTCATGTTTACTAAGATTGGGCAGCTGCGAACAAAAGACTAATTACCACTTCATGAATTCATTCCAGTCGTGTTCCAACATATTGGGAACATTTTATTTACTATCTAAGTTTTAGGCAAGAGAGTCTTAGCCTGTTTACGATAGGAACAGAAAGCAGAACTGTCTATATTTTTCAAAGAAAGGAAGAACATGGAGAACCAATTTAGGTGAAGCAATAACCAAAGGAAACCAAAAGCAGTTACTGTTTGTTTTAGAGTCCCTAATATCTACCATCCTACGGCTCTCAAAGACCCAATGATTAAAAAAAATCCTAATCTGCCTTCCCTCCGACCTATTTATACTGTTATTTATTGTCTATCCATATGTATCAAGCATCTCACATTCTGATGCCTATTAGTTTACCTGTCAAATCGAATGAGCATGCCGATCATTGTGCCCGTCAACTGAATAAAACTGCCAGATGAAACCAAAATTGGTACAGCCAAGCTGATAAGGAGAGTTGCAAGTTTGAGGGGCTTTGGCAATCGGATTGGAGATAAAGTTGCCTCGAGCAATCCATCTGGACAACCAATAGGTTTAATTAAGTTAAACTTAGGACAGCCCTTAATGTGGAAATACTTTTTTCAACGTCTTCAATGAATGTGGTTAGCCTGAAATGAAAATAACATCCCTCATTATATAAAACCAAAGCTAGGAAAGATAGCTTACATGCAAATGCAGGAGTAACTAGCCAAACCAGAGCGAGGTAAGTTGATCCAAGTTTATAATAGGTTCCCAAGGCCAGAAGAACAAGCCACTGTATAAAACCAGCTTTAAACAGCCATCTTTCAGCCTCCAGCTTGGCCAAATTATCTCGTAGTCTTGGTGAGACTTGAATTTTGTTCGAATTTCGGTTCGAAGATTTCTTCCGAAGGAAAATAAAGGCCACATGTTGACCACTTATTGACCCCAAAACCGCAGGCGACACAAACAATCCAACTACCATCCATGGGTTTGAAGCATACGGCACAGGTGAAGAGGAAATCCAGGGCAATATGAATGCAACGGCTACCGAGAAAGCTACTGAGAATATCCATGAAAGGATAATACTCAAACACGACAAAATCAGCGACACAACAGCCGGATAACCACCCATGAACACAGACAAAACCCATATAAGAATCGATTGCATGATCACTGAAACATATAGCATTGTTGCTAAACTTTGCCGGTATACAATCATATACTTCCCCTAAAAATTTGGCATAGAAATAAAGGAAACACATTAATGCACTTGGTAAAGGAAAAACTATGTAAGTACATATCTTAATAGATAATAACAACAGAAAAGTTAGATCTGTAATCACCAAAACGTCAAAATAGACAGCTGAGTCCGAGTTGGATTTCTCCTCTCCCTGGAGCGTTTTATCCTTTGGCAGATCAGCAGCTGAAGCAACCCGAAGGAGGAAAGCAAGCATATTTTCCCCAAGATGCTGGAGCGATCCTGGTTTTATTAGTTCTATCTTATCATTCTGCAATGCACGCAATAACAAATTACACATCTAAACCGAGATCAAAACAAGAAGAACAACAAGTGAAACAAAAAAGGTAAATACCTTAGTGTGATAGACAGCAGTATTATCGGCAAAAGCAAAGTCCAACCCTGAGAGACCAGCAACCTCCCTGTATACTTGGAAATCGGTCGCAGATTTTATGATTCCAGAAGTGAACAGATCCTGTCATAGTAAAGCAGTGACATATAGATGTATATACACCAGTAAAGGGGGGAAGAAACATCAGTTGAAAGTACATACCTGTCCAATGATCTGACCAGATGGATATTTCGCGGCCAAAGCAAAATTTTCAATAGCCCACGGACTCGGGCCAGCCTATACCCCGAGGATAACAACAATCAGAAAGTGAGAATTCACACTTGGAGATAAAGGGAAACAATTTGAAAACCAGAAACCCAATCCTCTTTCAGGTACAAGGCACCAAAGAACAGTTGGTATAACCAATACAGCAGCTTAACTCCCAGAAAAAGAATCAAAACCGTAGCCAAAATTGAGTAAAAATTACGAAAACCCTTCACGTGCAGTCATAATTTGGTTTCATACCAATTCCTTTTTGAGTTTTTACAAGAAAGAGGGAAACCTCACATGCCGAAAGTCACTGTACTTGTTAAGAATTTTTTTCTTATAATTGATATTAGCAAATGAGAGGAACGAGAGGTAGTGCATAAGATTATACCTGAAAAATACTAGACTTTCCACCCGCACCCATGGCCTCTAAATCAATAGCTAAACGTACTGTGGAACTCCATGGATGCTGCATCAGTAATTTACATTGTAAACCAAAAACCATAAGTTCAGAAGTTAAGAGTTCTAATCGGAGTAACTCGACCAAGTCAAAGTAAGAGAGAGAGGAAAGACATCAAACTCAAAGCCATTAAGGTCAGTGTATCATATATACCTGAGTTATAAAGCTATGAGCGCCATTAAGACCTTCTTCCTCTCCAGTATTGAACAAGAATATAATAGAATTCTTGAATCCATGAGCCGATTGGGAAACAGATCGAGCTAGTTCCAGCATTACAGCTACACATGAACTACAATCTCCAGCCCCACCTCTTCATAGATACACAAACGAATTAAACACACACACTTCACACTAGCAATATGATGATAAAAACAATGGATAGGAGATGAAGCGACATACGTTGTGAAGACAGTATCAATGTGAGAAGAGACCAGAATAGCATTGTCTCCAGCGTCTGATTCATATTTAGGCAAGATTCTTAGTACAATGTGACTTATATCTGAATACACAAGTGACTTCCCCTTAAACAGACCACCGACCAAACGATTTACACCAAATTTGGATTCAAAGAAATCAACATTCACATCAACTTCCCAATGAGCAGTTTCTTTAACTTTCTCAACTTCTGCCAATACATACTGCACAAGATGAACACATAACAAATTCTTAATACACTCAAATCAAGAAAAAAAATGGAAGAAAAAAAAAAAAAAAAAAAAAAAAGCAAAAAAGACAAAACCTCAAGGGCAAGGACAAGAGCATCAGAAGAAACAGGATGAGGACCAAACTGAGTCAAAGCCTTAACATGATTGATAGCTTCAAATTCAGAGAAACCCCTTTTACCAGCTTGTTTAGCGGTTAAGGGTTTAGGTAAATTCCCAAGCTGATAATTGTAAACAACCCAAGAAGAGTAAGTGACCAAAATCAACACTGAGAACCAAACTTTTCCTGATCTTTTAACATCAGCCTGCACTTCCTTATCGAGAGCTTCTTTATCAGAAGAAGCATCAGTTTCTTGACTCGAAGAAGATGGCTCTGACAAATCTGATCCCTTTGGATGACGCTTCCTCATCGTCTCAGGATTTCGATCGGCTCATACAGAAACAGGTCTCTCACTCTCTACAGAAACAACATATGTTCGAAAGGTTGCAGTCTTCAAAAGCTAATAAAGCAAGGGTTTTTACCAGAATCAGGTTAAAACTATTGGAATGTGACAAATAGAAGAATCAGCTTGATGATGATTGATGAGGAAGACGAGATTTTTATTTTTATTTTTTGACGATGAAAAAATCATGCTCTCTTGGGAGCTTATAAAAATACCCCTCTTTTCCCACTTATTTACTTAAATGCCACTTTGACTTTTTTTGTAGACTGTTTTATAAAAATGGATAAAGCCTTGTGTTGTTATAAGCCCACTGGACTATAATGTGAGCCCACTAACAAACGTAACTTCTAATTAATTCAACAAACCAAACCTCTTTCTTCCAACAGCTTCATCGTTTTATCTTCTAATCTTCTTCTTTGAAACGTATCAATCAAAGCAGCTCAAATCAAGCTCGCAAAGATGATGCACATGACCTTCTACTGGGGAATCAAAGCCACAATTCTCTTCGATTTCTGGAAAACTGACTCATGGCTCAGTTACATCCTCACTTTAATCGCTTGCTTCGTCTTCTCCGCTTTCTATCAATACCTCGAGAATCGCCGCATCCAATTCAAATCCCTTTCCTCTTCCCGTCGTCCTCCTCCTCCTCGCTCTTCCTCCGGCGTCTCTGCTCCTCTTATCCCCAAATCCGGTACCAGATCCGCCGCTAAAGCTGCTTCGGTGCTGCTTTTTGGTGTCAACGCTGCGATCGGTTACTTGCTGATGCTTGCTGCTATGTCTTTCAACGGAGGCGTTTTCATCGCGATTGTCGTCGGGTTAACCGCTGGATACGCAGTTTTCAGATCTGATGACGGCGGTGCTGATATTGCGACGGATGATCCATGCCCATGTGCTTGAATCTTGATTGGTGATAAAAAACCTAAATCGGAAAATCCCAAAAAGGTGTGTGTTTGATAAAATTGATGTTTGTATGTTTGTATTGTTGTTTATTTCTGTATAATTAGTTTTCTTTGTAACGAAGTATCGATCCAAATGCGTTTCTTTAAAAAAATTGCAACTTTGAGTTCTTATGATTGAGCCATATAAATTCCCCAGATTTGATCTGGAAATTATATAAACTTGTAATATAATCTGCTACAAACAAAAACTCAACACTTGCAAGGTCCATTGTTACATGTTATGATGGTTTAATATATCAGTTCTGTGACATAGATAGAGTGATAAGTAGATTTAGCAGATGGTAGATTCGCCATGAATATAGTCGAGTATAGCGATGAGACCGACGATGAAAGATTGGTCCACATTTGGTTTGACAATTACATGATACAAATCCTTCTTGTTCCCCACCATTTCCTCTATCTCTTTCTCTATTCTCACCTGTTTTTCAATTGTTTATCAATATCTTCTGCGAGTTTACTAATTATCATGCCATTTTTCAACACAATTTTGTCAGAAATTGAGCTACATCAATCACTTTTGATCAAACTTGTAAGAAGTACAGTAACATTATTACCTTAGCTATGGTTCTGCCATCTGAATTTATGATGTTACAAGCTCTCTCTGCGAAAGAGCCTGTGATCTCTACATAGTTGTTGCGACTTGATGATATCTTCGGCGGTTTACCGTGAACTAATATTTTGATTGAACTGTTTTGAACCAGACATGAATCTTTTGGATCTTTCAAGGTGAAAACTAACCTCTCTGCTCCTTCATTGTCATACCCAAAACCTTCCCATTTCTTGTGTATCATGTTCAGTGCCTGCACTATTCCTCCCTGTAACCAAATAATATTAACATTATACACTCTTTTCTTTGAAATCAAAACAGAATAATCTAAACTAAAGCATAAACATAAAACTTGGTTACCATTTTGCGGATGAGAAGCAAATCATTACCATCACCATTTCTCAATAGAAGCTTGCCTTTGGTTCCAAGAACTCCACATCCATGAACTCTAAACACTACTTGTTGTTTGCTATTGCTCACTACGAACCCTCCTCCGTTCACCATATGCGGTCGTCGCCGCACCACCAGCACCGTCTCTGATTCCGATGAGTATCTTCGGCTCACCACCGGATCCACAGTCTGGCTGCTTCTCGCACCCATCACATCTATACACACTCGTACGTTTTAGTTATATTCAATACCTGACGAGCTCTTAATCCTTATATATACACTTCAACACTTATGTAATGATATACTTGATCAAGATGCCAAGTGTTAATTTTTATGACAAAGACTTCAAAAGCTTAATGAAAAAGATGCTAAGTATCTATTTTTGTGGTAAAAGTCTTCAAAAGCTTAAGATTTAATAAGCGGCAACTTGATTAATTATTGGTGTGAGTGGGCATTTCTAAAGCTAACATGAGATACGAACAATTGAAAATCTCTTCTCAATGCGACAAAGGTTTCCTTATTTATTTTTTATTTTTTTATGGGTGAAATTTGTGAAAACTATCATAATTTAGTTCATATCATGACCATTTAATTGAAAAAAGACATAATCAACCATTTGGTGAATAGTACAGACAAAAATGTTATCTATCATATTCAATATCTCTTTCTCATTTATGTGCAATCCAAAATATTGGAGTTTCTATTTTTCAAAATTTTGGTCCGATCTTATCATACTAAAACAAATACAATTATTTATTTGCGCATATGCCTTGATTTAAAATAAAATAAAAACGATCTCAAAATAATCGAGAAATAGTATCAGATTCCATCCATATAAGAAATCATATATAGTCATATTTTTCTTTTTCTAAAAACATATATTAAAATGTTGTTATGTTTTATTTACCTATATAACATGTTTATTTTTTTGTTAGAACCTATATAACATGTTATTCTCTAAAACATAACATTAAATATAATAATGAACTATAGGTAGATTAGATGGAACAGGAAGCTAAACATTCTTTGAAACTTAACTATCTCATACTTGCACATAGCAAAAGAGACTAGCTTTTCCAACATATCTTGAGTTATGCAATTTGGAATTTCGAATCAGAATTATAGTAAATGATCCGAAATCTATATAAATTATAAATTATAATTATCTTAACTGTTTATCAACGTTCTCATTGTTTTACCATCCAAATCCTAATCAAGATATTTGAAAATAAAATAATTAATGTCACTAAAATAAGACTAAGGATTAAAAATAAGACTAAGGTTAAAATAAAATAAAAAGAGACACGGAGCCTTAAAAGGGGCAGAGGAAGGTAAGTAATAATCCTTGTCAGATGCTATAATTACTGCCTCTGCCACCAACCTCTCTCTCTTCTCTCTACTACACTAATCTCTCTCTCTCTTTTTTTCTTTCTCCTTTGCATTGTTTTTCTCACTCGCTCACTCGCCGCTTCTTCTTCCTTCCTTCTTTGGTTCACTTCTCTCATAACATCACTGCATGTTTCACTATTAATCTCGACGAACCATTCCTCTCCGAAAAAATGTCTGCTCCTTCAGGCGGTGACGGAGGAGGAGGAGAATCAGCTGGTGGAGTGAGTTCGTCGTCTCTTGCTCCGTCGTCTCTACCGCCGCCTCGTCCTAAGTCTCCGCCGGAGTATCCAGATTTGTACGGGAAACGCAGAGAGGCGGCGAGAGTTCAGATGCTCGAGAGAGAGATTGGTTTTCTCGAGGCAAGTCTCTTATACTTCTTTATTACTATTTTTAAAAACAGTCCTTTTCATTTTCTTTTTTTAATCTGCCATTTTTGATTACTCTGAGGAAGTGTCCGAATATTTTGAATTTCATCACTCATTTGTTTTTTTATTATTAGTCTCTCTCTTTTAAAAATTGCTACTAATGTAGTATTATTAGCTTCTGATTAGTAAATTAATTAGTTGTAATTAAACTCTCTTGTGTTAAATAATCTAGTACTATTTGATTTTATTTTTATGTGAGAAAAGAGGTTATTGATTTGTTAAAACTTGGTCCCTACTATATCCAGGTTGGTTTGGACTCTGGACCGTTGTGTTATGTTTTGACAGCAATTATAGAAACCCAAGACATTTAATTTTTATTTGTTCTCTTAGATGCTCTCAAACAAAGAATAATTAATTTCTGTCATCAGACACATTTCTATTTCTATATCTAATTAAATTCAAACTAGTACTATGATATGCAACAAGGACTTTGCCTACTTAAACTAATGCATGTTTTATTAATTTGAATCATTTATTTTAACAAGATTGTTAGTTGAGGGGGTTTCAACGGATCTATTCATTAAAAACTAAATGAATTGGGTTCCTATACTTTTCAATTAACCTCATTAATTTCATAATCAGGGGTTTTTTGGGTTATAGAATATTGTACTTAAGCATAAAATGTTAAGAATTCTGTTTTTCAAACTTTAACTTAAGGATACATAAAAAAGTAAATAAAATGTTAAAAGTTAAAATAAAATGTGATCATGTTGTAGTGTGAAGTGACCGATGAGACGCCCATTTACTCAGTTGTTTGCATCACTGAGGCCTAATGTGTTCGTGCATGTGTACTATGAAAGTGAGTGCTTAGTCAAAGAGAGTATTAAAAGTAAAAATATATAAAGATAAAGAAGAAAGGAAAAAGAAGCATTAGAAGCAAAGTAGCTAGGGAAAGATCTAAAAAATATATTGAATTTGGTTAGCTTCCATTGCTGATTTTGTTTTGTTTTGCTTTACCATATCAATCAATTTTTGTGAAAGTTTTTGTCTTTATTGCTATCTGCGTTTGAAAGGACCAATTCTTGTTCACCTTTTTCCTTCTTGTTGCTTTCTCATTTCCTCTATGATTACTTTCTATAGTGCATATGCATATTTGTGGTCATTTAATTATTTGTTTACACTGTATATGTTTAGTTTCTCCTGAGAATTTGAAATATGAAATTCTTGTTTTGTTGTGTTCTGTCCATTTAGTGTCTACTTGTGAATTTAGCTCTTCTCCTATTTGCCAAGCACATACACTTTCGGTTAGTTAATGAAGTTTCTTAACCGATATTTCGAATGTCGTCATGAGCAGGGGGAAATTAAATTCATTGAAGGCGTACAACCGGCTTCTAGATGCTGCAAAGAGTGAGATGATCTCTGTTTTAAAAACTTTGTATCAGTTTTTTAGTTCAGCTTGGTTTATTGATAAAAGATATGTTTTGTTGTGGCAGGGTCTCTGATTTTGTTGTTGCAAATTCTGACCCATTGATCCCTGCGTAAGCATATTTCTAGTTCACTCAGTCACTTCACTTTTCTCTTACCCTGCCTTCCCTAACAATTCTGTTGTTATTTTTCATACTGACAGACAACGAAAGAGTCGAAGATCTTGCCGGTTCTGGAAGTGGCTCTGGTAAGAATTTACACAGCGACTGGTGCATTCTGAATATGTATATAAATTAATATAAAATTTGCATAAGACCTCAAATAGTATGAAATGTTTATAGGCAATGCTTGATCTTAGATGGTTAGAATGACAAATGTATATATCTATCTTAACAAAGTGATACTAATTAAATAACTCGATGCAGTGGCCCGTGTTTGAGCCTGGTGAGTTTCTGCTGTTGCTGCCAATCCAAATGTTCGTGCCATCTGAGGAAACCCAAGTGCTGCAACTGTACATCTTGCAGCTGTATTGGGTCCAAATGCTGCGACGGGTCGTGCTGCTCAAACATTTGTTGTTGCCCGAGACCAAGCTGCCCGAGCTGTTCATGCTTCCGAGGTTGCTGCTGTTCATGTCCGGACATGTCTTGCTGCATTCCCAGCTGTTTCCGCAACTGCAGTTGCACTCGACCGTCGTGTCTGAATAAAAAGAAGAGCTCATGCTGCAGCTGCAACTGCAAGATCAGATGGTCATCTTGTTTTAGATGTCCCAAGGTACGACTTTGTTCTTGTTGTTTTTGCAATTGTAAAAATCTATGTTCTAATCCTTGTTGTTTAGCATTCTAAACATTATTATTATTATAATCATTATAGCTATTTCTTCTATAAGTAATATTTTTTTTTGTTTCAAATTTTTTCTTTTATCTCTTAAAGGAAGCAACTCTTTCTTACTTTTGTAATAAAATTGTGAATATTTTTGTCTTTTTGAATATAATGATGATTACTAGTTTACTACTATCAAGCGAGCCTGCCATGGGATATGTAAATAAATCAAGAAACGGATTGCAGTTAAAAATTCAAAAAAAAAAAAAAATCATATACACGTAAATAAATATAAATCGAAACATGTTTGTTAACAAAAAAAAAAAACGAGACATGTTCTTATTGTCACCCTACTGCTTAATTTTTAAAGTTTGGTAATTTTTTTTTTTTTTTTTTTTTTTTTTTTTTTTTTTTTAAAGTTTGGTAATTTTGTTTATAACGAAACTCCATTTTTTTCAATAGCTAAGGTAAAATGGCTAAAGGCAAAGAATGACTACAATTTGGTACATAGCTCTCATTAGCTAAAAAAAAATAAACAAACCCTTTGCATTTAAAATTAAATCGGTTAAGCAATAAAAACGATTTCCTCTCAGTTTAGCTTTATACTTGTGGTCTGAATTCTGAAATGAATCATCATAACTGAATGATAACGAGATAATTATAGCCAAAATTTAACGAGATTCGTAGGACACAACTAGATACAAAATTGACGAAACATATATAACAGAGATCCGACATAACATTCACTGCTTATGTCCGATGGGTTTTAGAAAAAGATCTCAGAGATATTCATATTAATTGCTAAACTATATTCTTTTTTTGATAAAAGAAGTCAGAGAGAATAATTCAGCAGAGGGTAAAAAAATAGATTTCATGGTGAAAAAGAAAAAAAGAAGAGATAAATTTCTATTCGTGTAATAATTGATCAAGGGTTTCTGGTTTTTTGTACGGTACGGATCCAACTGAGGGATCAGAAGTCAGAAGTGAAGCTCTTTTCTACTTTTTTTGCTTCATCTTTCTGAGTTTTATTGTGTGATGTGTTTTTAGAGGTCCCATTAAAGAGAGAGTGAGGTGTTGTCTATGTCAAGAGTAAAATTAATAAAAGAGGGGTTGAAAACGAAAATAGATGAAGTTTAGGGTACAAAAAAGTGTCAGAGAGGGATGGTGTGGACCTCTCTGCAAAGAAAAATTATTAAATGCAATTTGTCAATGTAGCATATGGCTCGATGCATTATGTGAATTCTATACTCATCTCTTCTCTGACACTCTCCGCTTGTTGTCGCTGGTATTTATATCTTTCATGTTATTATTATTTTCATAGTAAAAAACAAGTCGACAGATCGATATCTATCTTAATATTTAGATTAATCATATATTGCTTGATTAAAATGATAATCTACATTATAATATGCTAATGGTAGCTCTAATTTGGATTTTTAAAACATTTTCTTATGCAATATTTCTGCTGTTGGTATTTTTTTGTGTGTTTGTGTTTTTTTTCTTTCACTTTGTTGCTTAGTGTTGTTCATGCATGTTTTTATTTATGGGCTTCTTAGTTTTGGGCTTATCTCTTTATACATTTTATCTGGGTGTCAGGTCCAGTTCTTATGTTACCAAATTCAAGAAGCCTATATTGCATGCACCAAAGTTTTTGGCTAAACAAACAAACACACAAAGGCTTTTTTGTTAACAGTACTAAAAATCTCAAGAAGCCCATGATTGAATCAAGTTTTGTCCACATTAGACTAGTTTTAGTTAATAGTTTGTTAGATGGATTATAATTTTTTTTTTGTGATAAATTTAGATGGGTGATTAAGTTGTTAATTAGTTAGTTAGATTAAGCTTATTAAAACTGTTTTGTAAATAAAACAGTGTACATTATAAGCTTTATTGGCTTATTCTTTTATCCTCTTGTTGTTGCTCTCTTGTTCTTGGAGAAGCTTCAATGTTGAAGCTGTCATATGGTAGAATAAAGTCTAACAAACTATACAATTTGTTAACTAATAATAGACCAATTGCGTAAAAGAAAAGATGCTCCAAAATCACAATGTCAAGAACAAGATTAAATGTAAAAAATAAAAACCAAATTTATCTCCTCCAAGAATTTTATTAAAAAAAATCCAAGATTTGCCTATACTGTAGACTGGATTTGGAGATAGTAAATGCCCTGAGCTAAAGGGAACGTTGAAGAGCCACACGATTTTGGAAGTTGCTGAAATGAGAAGATAAGTAATTGTGCAGAGGAGTCCAAATTAGAGAAGGAAGAGACATGTTTGCTCTTTACCCAAAATTGGACCACACTAATCTCTCTTCTTCTCCATTCCTTTTTTTTTTCATATCTTCTTTACAAAAATATCTCATCAAAAAGAGGTTCCTTTTGGATATTTTGATCTTTGGGAGCTTCTAACAGCTTTTACCTTTCAAGATTCCAATTCTTACTACGTTGTACATTCTAGTTGTCAGAATCGAAACCTTGAGGATAGTTCGAACTTCAAAACAATGATTTTATTTCTCTTAATGCTAAACTATTACGTAGATTTAGTACCATACCAATTTTTTTGAATTATCCTCAAAAAAAGTTATTCATAACGAAGCTTTAATTAGTTCATACTAAGAATTGTTGCAATTTAAAAAAACTCTTCCTAACGTCATTCCCGTTGCTTTCACAAGTGTTTACAAAGTCATTGTTGTACAGGGACAAGAGAAATTGAGGACATTAACTAAGAGTAAAATTAAAATTCATTGGTAATGATGTTCAATAACCTTCCCTTGCTAAAACGATTTTCACATGAATTTCATTCTCTCTTGATAAACGTGACTTCCTAACGTTGAAAAAAAACTCTAAAATATGTAAGATTTATACTTTGTAGGTTGCATGAAACAGGGTGATTAGTTTTACACTTGTGCCAGTGCCCAGTGCCAGTAGGATAAAACTTTCTTAAGAATGATGTTCGTCTTCCATAACCTTCCCTTGCTAAAGGATTTGCACATGAATTTCACTCTCTCTCGATAACCTTGAATTTGACCTTTTGAAAACACATTTCCTAATTTCCGATAAAACTCTAATTTTTTATATATTAGATTTATACTTTGAAACAGGGTGATTAGTTTACAGCTGTGCCAGTAGAATAAAAATTTCTTAAGCATTTTTTTACATTTTACTGAAAACGAACCGTTTATCACCATTCTCCAAACCGACAAAAATCTCTGACATGAAGCCCCATAAGAGCCATGTGGGGTTTTTTCCCACGTACGTACACCCAAAGTTCACATGCATGCAATGCTAACAAATTAAGATGCCTCTGGATTGCTTCAAGACCATCCTCACGTTAAACCATATCAATATCTTCTCAGTCTCTATATAAACCAACCTGCTTCTCTTTCTGCCTCATAACTTCAAGAAGAGCTCTTATCTATAAAACATTTTAAAGAACAATGAAGATGATATTCCATATTTTCTTCATCATCTCCCTCGTTTCATCCATCTCTTTTGCCTCTGTTCAAGACTTTTGTGTAGCTGATCCAAAGGGTCCTCAAAGTCCATCAGGGTACTCTTGCAAGAACCCTGACCAGGTCACCGAAAATGACTTTGCATTTTCCGGCCTCGGCAAAGCTGGAAACACTTCGAACATCATTAAAGCCGCAGTGACTCCAGCCTTTGCGCCTGCTTTTGCAGGCACCAATGGCCTTGGTGTCTCTCTGGCTCGTCTTGACTTAGCCGGTGGTGGTGTCATCCCTCTTCACACTCATCCTGGTGCTTCTGAGGCCCTTGTAGTCATACAAGGCACCATTTGCGCCGGATTCATCTCCTCTGCTAACAAAGTTTACTTGAAGACTCTCAACAGAGGCGATTCTATGATTTTTCCTCAAGGGCTTCTTCATTTTCAGCTTAACTCTGGGAAAGGCCCTGCCTTAGCCTTCGTCGCCTTCGGAAGCTCCTCCCCGGGGCTCCAGATTCTACCATTTGCTCTGTTTGCAAACGATTTGCCTTCAGAACTCGTTGAAGCCACGACGTTCCTTAGCGATGAAGAAGTTAAGAAGCTTAAGGGTGTGCTTGGAGGAACTAATTAAGCGTCTCTTAATTTCATTTTTTTAAAATGTGGTTGTGTGTTTTGTTATTCCAGTTCCTTAAGCATTTTGATTTCGTTTCTAATGATTGTTTTTCTTTATGAGTTGTTATTGTTCTCAATGTTTCATTTCTATAGTCTCTTTGGCTTGAATTGTAATAACTAATAAGCATTACATTGCAAGTTGCTTCTCAAATCTCAACTATATCTCTCGACATTTGCACTAATAAGCAACTATTGAGCATATTCACAAAAATTAAAACAAACAAGAAGAAGAAATACTGAAATATCAATGACAATGTGGTAAATCTCTAATAGATGACGACAATTCTTAAAAAAAAAAAAAGGTTTTGGGCCAATTGAATTAAGGTTTTGGGCCAATTGGTCACCACTATATAAGAAACAAAGAAGGCGTTGTTCTTGCCAAAGGATTTTAATTCTCTGATTCTTCGTCTCTCCCAAAACAAAAAAAAAAACCCTAGATCGCTCTTCAAATCTCTTCCTAACGATTCTCTCTTTCAAGGTACGATTTTCTCTACTGGTTCTTTTTTTTTTATTTTGCTTCTGATCTTTCGTTTAGGTTTTTGTGATGTTCGATTCTGGTTCCTTAGATGATTGAATCGATTTCGCTGCATCTTTGCTTTTCTCGATTTAATGGTTTATCTTGCTTTGATATTTCAACGCCGATTACTATGATCTCTATTCGTAGTTCGTCAGATTTGCATGTTTGTAGAATTTTGTGATCCGATGACAAGTTATATCGTTCAGATCTGTTCAATTTCTTGCTTGATTGTTAAATTCTCACGACGAATTGTTCAATTTTAAGTTTGCTTTGTTCTATCCTCTCTTTGATTTGCGTTATTATGTCAATTGCATCAAATTATTCGTCATCTCTTATATGTGATTGTCTGGAGATAACGTTTAAGTTCTCTGGCTTTTTTTGAATTCTTATTACGGCTTTTGATTTGGTTTATGTTTGCTGATTGATTATTACTTTGCTTTCTTTCTTCGCAGATGCAAGTTTTTGTGAAAACACTCACTGGTAAGACCATCACTCTCGAGGTTGAGAGTTCTGACACCATCGACAATGTTAAGGCAAAGATCCAGGACAAGGAAGGCATTCCTCCGGATCAGCAAAGATTGATCTTCGCTGGTAAGCAGCTAGAAGATGGCCGTACCTTGGCTGATTACAATATCCAGAAAGAATCAACACTCCATTTGGTTCTCCGGTTAAGAGGTGGTATGCAGATCTTTGTCAAGACTCTGACTGGCAAAACCATCACCCTCGAGGTTGAAAGTTCTGACACTATTGACAACGTCAAGGCAAAGATCCAGGATAAGGAAGGAATCCCTCCAGACCAGCAGAGGCTTATTTTCGCTGGTAAGCAGCTCGAGGATGGAAGGACTCTTGCTGACTACAACATCCAGAAAGAGTCGACACTTCACCTTGTCCTTCGTCTTCGTGGTGGTATGCAAATCTTTGTGAAGACTCTCACGGGTAAAACAATCACCCTAGAGGTTGAGAGCTCAGACACCATTGACAATGTCAAAGCTAAGATTCAGGATAAAGAGGGAATCCCACCGGACCAGCAGAGGCTTATCTTTGCAGGTAAGCAGCTAGAGGATGGTCGCACACTGGCTGACTACAACATCCAAAAAGAGTCAACCCTCCATTTGGTGCTTCGTCTGAGAGGTGGTATGCAGATCTTTGTGAAGACTCTAACTGGCAAGACTATCACTTTGGAGGTTGAGAGCTCAGACACAATCGATAACGTCAAGGCAAAGATTCAAGACAAGGAAGGGATCCCACCAGACCAGCAGAGACTCATCTTTGCAGGTAAACAACTTGAAGATGGACGCACCCTCGCTGATTACAACATCCAAAAGGAGTCTACCCTCCATCTTGTGCTTCGTCTCCGTGGTGGTATGCAGATTTTTGTTAAGACCCTTACCGGCAAGACCATCACTTTGGAAGTTGAGAGCTCAGACACAATCGATAATGTCAAGGCTAAGATTCAAGACAAGGAAGGGATCCCACCAGACCAACAGAGACTCATCTTCGCTGGGAAACAGCTTGAGGATGGTCGGACACTTGCGGATTACAATATCCAGAAGGAATCAACCCTTCACCTTGTGTTGCGTCTGCGTGGTGGAATGCAAATCTTTGTGAAGACTTTGACAGGTAAGACTATTACCTTGGAGGTTGAGAGCTCAGACACAATTGATAACGTCAAGGCCAAGATTCAGGACAAGGAAGGGATCCCTCCGGACCAACAGAGACTCATCTTCGCTGGGAAACAGCTTGAGGATGGTCGGACTCTTGCAGATTACAACATCCAGAAGGAGTCGACTCTTCACTTGGTTCTTCGTCTTCGTGGTGGAAGCTTCTAAGCTTTTGTGATCTGATGATAAGTGGTTGTTCGTGTCTCATGCACTTGGGAGGTGAGATCTTCTTCACCTGGTTAAGTTTCCGTCTGTGGGAAAACCTCTATGTTCTCAAGTTTCATTTTCTGTTTTTTTTTCTATTTTCTTATGAACCTTTGGTTGCTGTTTCAACTTTTAATAATAATCCAAGTGCATGTTAAACATTCCTCTTTCTAGAACTTTTTATACCCTTTGTGTCCAATATATTCGAAGCATGGAATAGAGAGACCAGGATTTTTAGTCTATGTATCATGTCTGAGTAATTGATTTCAGACATAAAAAGAATCAAAGTTCAAAGGATTTTGTTTGTTCGTTGGCAATTTGTTCCATTGATCTTTTAACTGTACCACAGACAGCGATTAGTTTGATCCGCAAAACCTAAACTACACACAATATAAAACACATGCAACATTTGAAGTGAATCTACACACAATTCACCACATCACATTAGCTTTACTTAGCATCAAAAATACAGAGCAGACACATGCTACTTCTTCAGTTTCATTTTGGCATTATCACATTCGGGTTTCGAACGTGTTTGTTCAACTTTCCCATTTTCCCAAGCTCTTTCCATTTAGACCCAGAACCAGAGACACTCCACAACTTATCACCAGGCTTTGTCGAACCCAATTTTGGTTTCATAAGAGGAAGCTTGTTGTTCCCTTTCCCCATTCCGTTAGCCATCAACCATCTTGAACCAGACTGCACCTGCTGCTGCTGAGTCGTGATTCCCCATGGTTTCTTATCGGTCTCGCTCTTCATACCGGTAAGATGTACCTCTGAGATTTTGTACTGAGGGATTCCTTGTTCCTCCATGGGTTTCTCTTCTTTCTTTGCATCACTCACCTCGGCTTCCTCCTCTTCATCGGTTTTCCTCAGCTCTGAAACTGTGCTGTAGATTTTGGGCTTTGGAGGGACGAACAATCTCTCAACTTGGATAAGAGAAAGCATAGGAGCTCCTACTGGCTCGTAGTTCCTTAGAGGATCTCGAAGTTGCACCATTAGTGCTACGGTGAAGGTATTCCCCAGTAAACCACATTTCCTTCCTTTTTTTCCCTTTCTTTTCTCCCCTTTTGATCCTTTACGGATAAAGTTTAGCGGGTTTGCATGATGGGCAGCCAAAATTTTTGAAGTTCGCTCATTTATTTCGTCTTCATCGCCAATGTCCCCTGAATCTAACTTCATCCACTCATCAAGCGTCAAGGATAGTCCCATTAAACCATCATCATCATCGTCCCCATCATCTTTTATGTCCAGAAGTTGTAACCCGGCGGCACCTTCTAGACCAACACACCCGCTTTTCCCCTGGAAGGCTGAGATATCTCCAATAGATTGTGCAGTGATGTCCGAGGGTGCATCCTCATCTGACATTCCTGATTGTATTCTCAATCCTTCCAAAGAAAGTGCTTCAATCTGATCCATAGCCAAAGGAGCAAGATCTTCAAGTGATACATACTCGGAGTCAAAGGTATTGTTACCAGAGCTTGAACCAAACTTTTTTGGCTTAGCTGCAAATGATGTTCGTCTTTCCGCTCCCCTCACAAAACCAGCTGCATCATCAGATTCATGCACTGATACATGATCCCTGTGTTGAGAAGATAAGACAAATACACCCAACTTGTTTTAAGCACAATTTTCAGGTAAAACTTTCCACAAATCAAAACGAGTTATGATAAGAGTGATGCAAACCTGTCCCCACCGTCAATTGTAGGTGAAGTTTCCCACAACACCTCTTCCATGGTTTTCCCTGTTACATCATCCAAAGGCATTACTTTATTTGCCTGCATCGAGAGCTTCTCAATTCCAGCAGTGGCTAGTTTCTGAAGTATCTCCATGATACCAGAGCCCATCTCAGCAGGCACCACCACTGGATTTGACACTTGCATGATCAAGCTGCCTCCAGCTTTAGAGTTCCTGAATAGTAAGGGATTCATTGACCGCAAGAACCCTCCATTCTTTGTCTGCACAACTGGACCCAAGCCATCTCCAAGAGGAGGCAAATCAAATGGCTCCTTCACTGGAAAATCAGCTGGATGAAACGCATCACGACCATTGTGAGGCGGAGAGTTTTGAAATGTGTTTTCATTCATACCCCACTCACGCATCAGAGATTCTGTTTCCAAGCCTTCTAACATTTTGGCCCTGGGTTGGCTAACTCTTGCTTGAGCTTCCAACTGGTACTCTTCTTCTATATCATGAACGAGGGATGCCAGATCGAAACCTTCTTCAAAATCCGACTCATACTCGTTAGAAAAGTTTTCATCACATTCGATTTGGGGATCATCACCTTCAATACTAAAGTCAAACAAAGAACCTGCTGCTAGGGTTTCCATTTCAAACTCCCTTAACAAGCGCTCCCTTGGGGACTCAGGTTCACTCTCAGAACTTAGACCAAAAGGGCTGTGTTCAATACCTAGCATGTCTAAGAACTCACTTGCCACAGATTCAGCCACATCTCTCGAACATGATGGTGCTGCTTCCTTCATTGGTGTTATAAAACATTTATCTTCGTCTCCATGGTTTTCTCGATCTTCCTCGTCTTCTGACGCAGTTGTTTCCAACATTTCTACACTTTTCAAAGCTGATTCAAGATCTTTCATTATCATTTCTTTCAAGTCTCTCTCACCGTTCATTACCTCTTCTGCATCTTGAGGAACAACACTTTCCTCGTCCTTCGGAGAAACTTTGTTCCCCTCTTCTGGAGCCAACTTTTCTGTACCAATCTCAACAGCTTCCTCACTTCTATCAATAGTAGCTTCGCCAACAATAATTAATTCCTCAAAAAGAACATCAGTTTCATTCCCATTTACCGAGGGCTCTTCTGCAGGCAAAATTTCTGTACCAACTTCGTCCCTTCCAGCCGTAGGAACTTCACCAGCTTTCTTCAATACTTCAAAAGGAACATCAGTTTCATTGCCGTTTACCAAGGGCTCTTCTGAAGGAAAATTTTCTGTACCAACTTCATCACTTCCAGCAGTAGGAACCTCACCAGCTTTTTTTATTTCCTCAAAAGGAACAACAGTTTCATTCCCAGTTCCCAACTCGCTTTGAAGTGCATTTGCATCTTCTTTTTCATGAGATATTGACTCAACAGGTTCAATGTATTTAGCGACAACGTCAAATTCGAACTGAGACTTATTTGCAGGATCCACCTTCTCCTCATCAAATTTTTGATACAAAGTGTTTACAGAACTACCCAGGTCAGATTGTGCAGCGGGCAAAATTTCATGAAGATCTTTAATTTCCTCCATATTCTGGGACGAAGGATGCGATTCTTTGTTAACAATACTGTGATCATAACGCCGAGCCGTGGACTTTCCATTCCCTAGACTAGACTTTGCACTGATAGTTCTTGTCAACCCAGTGTTATTACTAGTTTGTTTTATATTTGAGGAACTGCGGAAATTCTGAGTGCTACCTGATGAAGCAGGATTACGAGTATCCCCAACAACAGTGTACCCAAAACTCATGCTTAAAGTAGCACCATGAGCCTTTCCAGTCAACTGAAATGTTGTTGACCACTTAGCCGAGCTTTTCTCATCCTGCAACTCCTCAAGTGTGAGAGGAAGCAATTTAGTGAGATCCATTCGATGTTTTCCTAGATCAATCTCAGGAGATCCAACCAGAGAGACATACAACAAGAAATGCTTAGCTTCATACTTAGCTGAGTGATGCGGTCCACTTCTGCTTCCGTAGACCGAGCATGTATGTGTCAGCTTATCCTTAAATTCAGCTCTTCCATTGGAAACTTTTGCAGGACGAGTGCTTAAAGATTCATCACGACGTTTCCAGTGCACAGTGAGCGAAAGATCCTGGAATATCGGGGGTAACCCTTCAATGGAATGGACTTGAGCAGAGAAACAACAATTGAATCGGCGGTTTCTGACATGATTAATGGCTCTGAGAGGCCAATTCCAAAACGATTTCTTCTCCTTCTGAGGCTCAGCCAAGTTGCTTCGACTCAAAGGTTTTGTTGGAGTCTTATTAGGACCAGCAACCGAACCCCTAGGATTCTTGTTCACATACAGAGCTTCGCCTATTGTCTCAACCTCCTTCAATAATTTTTGGCTACTAGAAGATTCCTCACTGTTAACTTTACTCATCCTGTACTGAATATCGAGAGAATGAGCCAGAAATCTGCAGAAATAAATTTGGTCAGCATCAGAGAAGCAAAAGAGCTGTGTTAACTGTTGACGACAAGAGAAAGGATTCAAGAGGGAGAGTTAGAAATGTCACAATTTAGCTCCAAGCAACAACAGTTTTCAAGCAAAGTATTTAATTGGAGTCGTCCTTCTACATAATCAATTGAGAGAAGAGAGATAGATATGTGAGCTTTGCTAACAAGCTCGATGAGGTCCAATGACTAAAAACTCTCAACGAATCTCCAGCTTTTCCAATGAATTTAGCAAGAAAATTAAAATTAACGATTACAACGAGATAGATCCAATTTCAACAGATGATCGGTGCTAATTTGGCCCGAAGATAACCAAACGAAGCAACACAACATCACTGAGTTTCAAGCAAAATCCAAGGAAAACAAGGAAGACGGATTGAAGAAGTAGAACTCACCGGCGTGAAATGGCGACTAAAGAAAAGTCGTCTCTGTGGAAGCTTTGAAGAAGAGAAAAATGGTGGAGGGGCGCGTCAGAGACGAAGAACACAAGAAGGATAGAAAAAAAAAACTTTGTTTTATTCCATCATCATTTCTTCTTCTTCCCTTTGTTTTAAATTCATTCAACTTTTTTTGTATTAATAATAATATTCGTGAAGTTACCTATACTTTCTCTATTTCATACAATTTGTCTACAAAGATTATTTTAGTACTATATAACCCTCGTGTTCATTATACTTTTTATTTAATGTCCAATAAATGATATCTCAGATCCAATCTAATATCAACGAAATAGTTATAACTTGAATCCCATTTTTTTTGAACAAAAAAAAAAAAAAACTTGATCCCATTTTTGAAAATTTTTTAGATCATCGAATATTACAATTACCAATTTGATGCAACGTCAATTCCTTTTTATGCGAAGAGAATATTTTGAAAAATACTTTTGCATTTCAGACAAAGAAAATATTCGTTTTTCAAAAGTTCAAAAAGACAAAAAAAAATAAAATACAAGAGCTATTTTCCAACGAACATTAATTATTCTGAGTTATATTAAAAAAAATTCCTAGAGAAAAAAAAAACCAATTCAAAAGAGAAGGGTTAAAATGTAAAAACAAAAAAATGAAAGAAACAAAAGCTAAACCCTAATCCTTTGTTACGTCCTTCTTTCTCTTTATCTCCCAACCTCTCCACCCAGAATCTGCCGTCACCTTTTTTTAGTTGTTGCTTCTTCCTCAAAAATTCGATAACAATGGTGAAACGGAATCGAGTTTCGCCGGCAGAACAAGCATTACCCATTGAAGAAGATTGCAAATCGTTGATAAAAAAGCTTGCTTCGTGCAAGCAATCAATCCGCGACAGATCCTTGCGAACTGTTCTTCGTACTTGGCTTCCAGAACAAACTGAAATCTCCGATGAAGATATGAAGAAGCTGTGGCAAGGAATCTTCTATTGTATCTGGCACGCCGATAAGTCTCTTTACCAATCAGAACTCATTGATCGTCTCTCTTCTGCTATTCAATCCCTTCCTCTTCCTTTGTCTCTCCATTACTTCACCGTCTTCTTGTTCACCATGCGTCGTGAGTGGTCTCGTATTGATCGGCTCAGGTTAGATAAGTTTTACCTCTTGATTCGAAGGTTTTTGCATGGTTTCTTCTCTCTTCTTGATAGCAATTCATGGGATTTGGAATTCACTCGTCGTTTAATGGGTGTTTTGTTCGATGGGACTTTCCTTGCTGGTGATAAGTTTCAAGGGAATGGTGTTAACTATCATATAGCTTCTGCTTTTGTTGAAGAGCTTAGGCCGTTTCTTCCTCTAAGGAAGGAGGTTTTGGAACTTCTTTTTGCTCCCTTTGTGAAAATTTTGGGTGTTGTTACTGATAAGATTTTGGTGGGGAAGATTAAGAGTAATTTGTTTGAGGAGTTACTGAAGATGGGGAAGAAGCTGCTGATAATTAAGAAATCTGGGAATGATGTAGTGCCTGAGGATGATGATGTAGTGGTTTTGGGTTCTATTGCTTTGTCTATGGAGTTTGCAAAGAGGTTCTATGAGATGGGTTCTTCTCCGGATTGTCATCAGGGTAATAGGAAATCGATATTTGCTCTTCACAAGGAGTTCTTGCAGTTGGAGAAGGATATGTCGAGTTCTGGTATCGAAGTTTCTATCGCAGAAGCTTCTCGTCCTGGCAATGATGAAGTGCCTGAACTGGTACCTGTGTCTGAGTCTGAATCAAATGCTGTTTCTAAGTCTAAGAAGATTGTTGCAAATGGGTCTTCTTCAAAGAAGAAGGGTTTGAAGAAATGTTCAAAGACGAAAAAAGCCAGTGTCAAGAAGGATGCTGTTATGGATAATGTTATTGATCTTGGTAACAAAGATGAAGCTTTTGATGAGACTATGATATCGGATCTTCGACAGGAGTTTGAGAAGATTGCATCTGAAATGAGTCCGTCAAAAAGTGAGGTTGCAAGTGTCTGTGAAGTAGCAGAGCCTGTGTCAATATCCAAAAAGAGCAAGAAGAGGAAAAGAGAGAACAAAGGGGAAGAGCAAGTTATTACTGTTAACAGAGATGTAGCAGAGACAAGCTTAGCTGGCCCGAGCAGTGAGAAGAGCTCAAAGAGAGTAAGATTCGCAATGAAGAACAATTTGGTGTGGAAGCCTCATTGCCCTCTACCTCCACAAGATTTGAGGTGTCCTCCGTCTGCTACGCCAAGAGGAAGTGCTCTGAAGCAAGGAATCCCGGCCGGTCCAGTGAGGGAGTTGGCTTCCCAGAGTAGGAAGACGAAGAAGAAAGTGAAACCAGCTGCACGTAGAGGAGTGAAGACGATCAAGAATTTGAAGAAGAAATTGTCGCCATGAAAATGGAGTGTCGAGTCATTTGTTGCTTTGCTGCTAGTTTTTCTTTAAATTTTTGTTATAGTTTCAACTTTCAATACGTATTCAAGATTTTGTTTGCTGATTTGACATTTATGAGAAAAATGTTTGCCATTAAAACCTGATTCCGTTTGTTCGCACCTCTATAAAACTACTTTTAAGCTCCCAAAATCAATAAATTACACAAAATTTGACATCACTACTACAACAGTGAAGACTGGATTGGTCATTTGTTTCTGCTCTTCTCTTACTATCTAATTTTGTTGATGTAAGTGCTCAACTTTAGGAATGTGGTTGAAGGAGCAAAGATGCGTAGATAAGATGGTTCCAAACATCGGGAACTCCCGGCAGGCACCAGTGGCTGCAATCCTGTCGCCTTGTCGACACTTTTTTACCATCCGTATTGGTCTTACCGTAGATTGATGGATGCCCGTCTTTGCGGAAATTAGTCAGCTTTGTCACGTTTAGAAGAATCACATGAACTTGCATCTCCTTGATGGCTTCCTCGACTATTTTCATTTTCAAAGGATAGGAATCAATGATTGAACCTTTCTTTACCGGTTCTACCTCCCCGTTGCATGACCCTCCCGAGTCCCACTCACCTCCCCTGTTCAAGTACACAGAATACACTGAAGAACTTAACTCTTCTATAAAAAAACTGCAACAAGAGTATATGGGGGTGGCGTATAAAACAAATCAAACCAAATATGAACCTAAGTGCTGAAACCGAAATGTACTCGTTTATAGTTCAAAATAAAAGATTTTGGGTGGTAAAAAAGAGATATGGGCTTACCGAAAATGGGCAGAGGAGTATCCGCGATAAAATACAAGCTGCTTTTTGGGATTCACATTTTCATCAATCCATTTTGCCCAAGTCTTCAACGACCTTCTGTATGCTTCAGTAGCATCAAATTTCGGATAGATGTAGTCACCTTCTTTGTAGTAGTTTTTCCTGCGCTAATTTTATTCACCAAGTCATTCGCCATTAATGTCTCTTCATTTTCTCTATGATGTCATGAAACAAAATTATAAAAGTACAATGGGATACACCACTAATATCAAGCTTTAAGATGATAAATTCAGAACTTTAATGAATAGTACAGGTGAAAATAAATTAAACCTACATCTCAAATTTGGGAGTTGGAAATTCTCCGATTAGTGAAGAATAGTGATAAAGGAGAAAAAGAAAGAACCATACCCTCTGGCGGTCTTTCCATGAACCCACCAATGTCCAGTGTTAAAGACAAGAATGTCAGCTCGCTTCCATTTAGCATGTGACTTGTCAATGCGATCAATCGAAAGGGTGGGATTAGTATTTCCTTGAGCATTTGCTCTAACTCCTTCCCTCACAAGAAAATGTGACCGTACAAACTCTACTGTGCAGTTGTAATCCTGTCAGACATTATCAAACCCCTACATTAATCAAGAGAAAAGGATGCACACATATGGATACTTTTCTCAAGCAAAAAAAATGGCAATTAATGCAACAAAAAGTTAAAGGATACAAAATGGGGTGCTGGGAGTTATAATAGACTCCAGAGAATCCATATTAAAACACAAACAGTGTAGATAACCACAATACAAGTGAACATTCAATCGAAAATACATGCAATCATGAGCATAAGAGTGGACTTACTACAAACTTGAATACAAAGTAGCCTCTCCCTTTTGTTATATTGTGGCCATGAACCTCGTACATTCTACTCTTATCAGATAAGCCTTCTCGAAGAACGCAAAGCATTGATTCAAACTGGTTACGATTCATTGAATCTCCAACTAACATCAAACTTTTACCTCGTAGCTTCACCAAGAAGTCTGTAGCATTAAACCTATGATTGGAAAGTCAATAAGAAGGTGATATACACATTCTATGCACAAACAGAAATAATGCATGATGTGTTTCTGCTAATCGTATCATTTAAAGTGTGACAGTAAATACATTGATTCAAAGACTAACCATTTACCTATACATCCACACTAACAATTGTCCAAATACTCTTCGCTTCACAGTTCACAATCAGCTAATAGGAAAATTCGACTCATGAAAACAACCAGCACAAAGCTATATGTCTCTCTCTAACATCAGTTCAATACATTTTCTTTGGATTGACAATAATGATCAACATTCTACCATCGCCACAGCTTCAAATCAAGTATAACAATGGCGGTGAGAATAGAGAGAATTTGAAAAGCGCATCATACCGTGGAAGGTCACAACCGTCAGGCTTCCATCTCCAATTAAGATAGTCAGAATCTCGCCTCCCGTTCCTCTGGCAATCAAAAGCTTCATCAACATAAGGACACGATCCAGGCTGATACAATGGATACTCATCGTCGTCCTTAACCCACGATCCCCTGTACAAATCACAGCCTCTCATCTTCTCGACCACCGCATGGTCCACAGATTCACCGCGCGATCCTTCTCCGCCTTCTTCTTCCACTTCAGTTTTCTCCGTGCGCGAATCTTCCACATCTTTTAGTTTCAGCTCAGTCTCTACCGCGACGTCATCACCGCCGCGGCGCGAATCTCCTACCTCCTTTTGATTCGTTTCCACGGTGACGTCACCATCGTGAGGTTCGATTTGAGGGAGGAGAGGCGTAGGAGGTGGTAGATCGACGGCGGAGAGAGGGATGTCGGCGGCCTGGTAAGGAGAGAGAGAAGGTTCGAGAGAGCGTCTAGTGAAGAAGAAGACGCTGCATAGGAAGATAACCACGAAGAGCGAAGTTGTCACAGTGTAGGAGACGATGGTTCGAGGGAAAGAAGAAGAAGTCGACATTGTGAAGCCACCACCATTGGAGCTACGCAGAACTCATCTCACCGTGAGATGCGACTTTGGTCATTATATGTGTTCCCATCATTTTCTATGTTATTAAGGTAAGAATTATAAACCAAATTATCTCTCTCGTAAATGCACAAATGTTTTCTACCAAATCAGGCAAAATTTGGATTTTGAGTATGTTTATATATGTCCATACTAAATTTGGTCAATAAGTTGATGAATGTATCAAAACCAATCACTAAACTCTATATGTATAATCATGTTTAGTATGAAATGTTAGATCTGTTTATAGTATTCGATGAATTAATCAAATTGATTATCCTTGTCCAAAGACTTTTTAAGTAACACATATGAAAACATGTATGACAAAAGACAATGATTTCTGTTTGAACTATATATCCAACAATTTGAAATATAATCAGTTAGGTATCTTTTTTTTTTTGTGTTAGGATAAAAATCTCTCATATCACAATTGTGGAAATACACTATTTTCACACAGCTATGTAGAAAGCATGAGAAAATGAAAGGATTAAGAAAACTGTGTTGCCGACACCTTTCTAGATCCCTAGCCATTTCATTGGCGATATTGATAATTGGGATCGACGAACTTGATAACAATTCGCATCCACAAACTTCAATCTTCAAAATTTTGCAACTTCGGACTCGAGTCGATCATCGTATTTTCTCTTGATTTTAGTTGTACTAAAAAACTTATCTTAGATGTTGAAAAAACCCTGCAAAATCTGAATTTAATTTGGTTTTTACAAGAACGAAATGGTGCATACATAACACACTCATACGATAAATGCAAATCATTAGGTTAGATATTTTTTTTTTGGTAGGATCATTAGGTTAGATGTTCTCATTGATGTTTTTAGTCTCCAAAATATATCAATTAGTAGAAATTCTTACGAGTTCCAAATAGCGATTTTATTTCCGTCGGCTAAATTTTCATTGATATGAAAGTCTAATGGACATTACAAGTGATGAGAAAGAGAAGCCCAGTCTCCATCATTTACAACCTTGATTAAAACTAAAACTGCTTAATCAAACCTATTAAGATGAGACTAAGAAAATAAGGTGCACGTGTAACACGTGTTAACACGCGAGAAGGAGATAGAGACACAGTTGGTGCCGACCAAATTTCATGATCTGGTGCAGTTCCGCCGCCGGGCTTCACAAATCCACCACCGAACTCCTTCTACAGATTTCACCGTTGCAAATCCGGCTGACATTCACCGCTTCTGTCTTCAAGAACCGCTAAAAGATATCTTCAAATCTTCATCATTTTAACTTTAATTCATAGCAGAAGCTCCGCCTAAGACATAGTTGAAGTTCTCTTCATAATAGTCGGCGAAGATATTATTCTGACATAAGATCAAGCTAACGGTGTGGCAGGAAAAATCAATCGATGGCAAGCGGAAATCCGGTTGAGATTCTGTTGAAAGAGAGTCAAAAAAACAGTTACGATCTTAGGCAAAACTAAGACGGAAGTTATTAGAACTGGATAAACCGGAGAAAAGAACCGACAAAACGGAAAAAGAAATCCGACCAGAGTCGAAAACTGTATTTATAACAAAAAAAATGACAACGCCGGAATAAATTCCGGTTTACCGAAATTGCTTTCCCTCTCTCAAAAATACAAGTGAGATAAGAGAGAGAAGCCACAAAGAGTCTTTGATTTTCGTGAGCAGAGCTTCAATCCAGAGATATATTCGTTTTCTGCTGGCTAAGCAATCACATCTAGCTTTCGTTCATCGTTAATTTCAGTTTTTTGTTCTCAAATTGAAGATCTTTGAAGCTTGATTTCCCTATCTTGTCTTCTTTGCTTTCAATTTTGTGTTTTCTCGTTTCTGGGTTTTTACGGTTGAAGTTATCATGGATATACAGCTTGATACGGCGATTCAAGAGCTCTCGATTGATGATGATTCACCAATCATTATACCGGAGGATGAGAGCTTCTGTTCAATTGAGCGAAACATCACGAGTCTTATGGGGAGATTCCTCAATCCTGCGAATCAGAGGATGTCGAATTGGATACTGAATATGCCTCGGATGTGGCGATTATATGACAGGGTTCGAGGAATCGCCTTATCCAATGAAAGTTTTCAATTCATTTTTAGATCAGAGGATGATCTTGATACTGTTTTGAAGACCGGTGTTTGGACTCAAGATGACTGGTGTGTTGTTATGGAGCGTTGGGTTGAAGATCCTCCACATGATTACTTAATGATGATGCCCATCTGGCTACGACTTCGACATATTCCGGTTAACTATTACACAGAGGATACAATCAAGGCGATTGCAAGGAAAATTGGGCAAGTTCTCGAGGTGGAGTTTGACAAGGAGAGCGCTCAAAGCCAAGACTATGTTCGAGTTCGAATTTTGTTTGATGTAAGGAATCCTTTGAAGAATTCGAAACTGGTTCAGCTGCCAAATGGAAAGATTGTTTCTGTTGGAATTGATTATGAAAGAGTTAGGAAACGTTGTTTTCAATGTCAACGACTCACTCATGACAAAAGCGTCTGCCCTTTCAACCCCATAGCGCTGAAATCATCGTCTGAGCTTTCACCATTACCTGATTTAACTATGGAAGGAAAAGATGATGGAATAGCGAGCTTTCAGACAGAAACAAAGGTTACCCATCCTACTGCCCCGAAACTTTTGAATGATGCTTTTAAGGATGGCTCTTCGATGGTGCACCTTAAGGACTTTCAGATCACGTCGCCTGATCCTATTCAAGGTATGGACACAAGTTGGGAAGGTACAGATGATGGTATAGGAAGTCAGCGAGCAGAAAAGGAGGTCTCATCTCAGATTTTCCCGAAATTACTGGCTAATGCTATCAAGAGTGGTCCCAAGTTGATGCATAAGATCGAAATTGAACAAGGTAACCTTCCTATCTTCTCTTTTTCCTCCCCGGATGGTACTTTCAAGGCTAGTTCTTCGGATATTTCAAAGCCTAGAACGTATATAGGTAAAAGAACTAGATCTTGGGGGAAAAAAATGAAAGAGAAAGAAGTGGTGGAGAATTTTGACAGAGTGGATAAGTTGAATCAGGATGAACCTATGGCTAAGATATCTAAAAGGAAAGGTCAAGAGGAGGAGGGTACCTCTTCCAAAACTCTGCTTATAGACAAAGATACGGTGATTCAAGGTGAATCACCGCAGTATCACTAGGCATCCTAAGTTGGAATTGTCAGGGATTGAGGAACCCTTGGACAATTAGATACCTTAAGGAAATGAAAAAAGAGTTTTTTCCTGACATTTTATTCCTCATGGAAACTAAAAACTATGAAGATTTTGTGAATAAAGTTTTTGGTTGGTTAGGTTATGATCATTGGTATGTAATTAATCCAGAAGGGAGAAGCGGTGGTTTGGCTATTTTTTGGAAAGATCATATAGAGATTGACATTTTGAGCGCTGATAAAAATCTCTTAGATCTAAAAGCTTCCTCTGGTAGTAAGAGTTGGTTTCTCTCTTGTGTATATGGTCCTCCTCTTTTGGCTTCTAGGCATTTGTTGTGGAATAAGCTTAGTGATATAGGTCTGTCCAGAAAAACAGCATGGTGTATAATAGGAGATTTTAATGAGATTTTAAGTAATAAGGAAAAGCTGGGAGGTCCTCTCCGACTGGTTTCAACGTTTAGGCCATTTCATAACATGCTTCTTGATTGTGATATGCATGAGCTAGGCAGTACAGGCAATGGTTATACTTGGGGAGGTACTAGGAATAAGCAATGGATTCAATCTAAGCTGGATCGATGTTTTGGAAATTCTGAATGGTTTACTCTATTCCCCATTTCGCATCAATGGTTTTTGGAAAAACTTGGCTCAGACCATCGACCTGTGTTGGTTAGATTTATAAATGACCAAGAAATTTTTAGAGGTCAATTCAAGTTTGATAAAAGGTGGGCAGAGGATCCATGTTTGGAACAGGTCATTCACAGTTCTTGGAATCGATCTACTTATAATGATGAGCCTTCTGTTTTGGTGAAAATAGCAGAGTGTAGACGAGCTATTAGTTCTTGGAAAAAACAGAGTGATACTAATTCTAGAATTAGGATTGCAAGGTTAAGACAAGAATTGGATATGCAATTGGCTTCTCTGTTTCCTTTGTGGCGTCGAGTCTCGGTAATCAAACAAGAACTGGCAGTTGCTTATAGAAGAGAAGAGACTTTTTGGCGACAAAAGAGTACAGAAAAATGGTTAGATGAGGGAGACAAGAATACTAAATTCTTTCATGCCTCGGTCAAATCTTGTAGAGTTAAGAATTCTTTGAATTTTTTACTAGATGAAAATGGAAAAGAATTCTCTACTAGTCGAGGGAAAGGAAAGTTAGCTGCTGATTACTTTACCACTCTGTTTCAATCTTCTCATCCGGAGAGTCTCTCTGACCATCTTCATGATTTTCAGTCAAGAGTGACAAACACTATGAATCAAGAGTTGACTAAAGAAGTTTCTGAGGAAGAAATTCATGATGCGGTTTGGTCCATTAATAGTGAAAAAGCACCAGGACCTGATGGTTTCACTGGTTTATTTTTTAAGAGATATTGGGCTGTGGTTAAAGATCAGATTGTTGAGGAAGTGAAAGGTTTTTTTCAGAACAGGTATTCTTCCACAAGATTGGAATCACACACATCTATGCCTCATACCAAAGATCTCCAAACCAACAAGAATGTCAGAGGTAAGACCTATTAGTTTGTGTTCGGTTCTATACAAAGTTATTTCAAAGATATTGGTGAACCGATTGAAACATCATCTCCCAAATATAATATCTCCGACTCAGTCTGCATTTGTGGCTAAACGAGTAATATCAGATAACATTCTCTTAGCTCATGAGGTAGTGCATAGTTTGAGAACCAATCCTACGATTTCAAAATCTTACATGGCCTTGAAAACAGATATGTCAAAGGCGTACGACCGAGTGGAATGGTCATTTTTAGAACAGATTCTTCAAGCTTTGGGTTTCAATGCTATCTGGATTTCTTGGATTATGGGTTGTGTTACTTCAGTGTCATATTCAGTTCTGATCAATGGTCAACCGTTTGGATATGTGTTACCAGAGAGAGGTATCAGACAGGGTGATCCTTTATCCCCATTCCTATTTGTACTATGCACGGAGGCTCTAATCCATCTTCTTAATCGGGCTGCAAAAGAAAATAAAATTTCTGGAATGGAGTTTAATCAATCAGGTCTGGCTATCAATCATCTTCTTTTCGCTGATGATACTTTGTTAGTATGTAAGGCATCTAGAGAAGATTGTGATGAGCTGATGATATGTTTAGAGAAGTATGCAAAAATTTCTGGCCAAATAATCAATGTGGATAAGTCTGCTATATCTTTTGGGCTAAAAGTAGAGGATGAACTGAGAGGTTGGATAAAAACGAGATCGGGTATTACCAAGGAAGGTGGTGAAGGTAAGTACCTAGGGCTCCCTGAATGCTTGAGTGGATCTAAAAAGAAATTGCTAGGATATATTAAGGATAGGCTGCAGCAACGAATGAATGGATGGTATGCTAAATTGCTGTCTCAAGGGGGCAAAGAAATTCTTCTCAAAACTGTGGCTATGGCACTCCCTGTATATGCTATGAGTTGCTTTAAATTGCCTAAAACTCTTTGTAAGAGTTTAACAAGCATTATGATGGATTTCTGGTGGAATAATGTTCATAATAAAAAGAAGATCCATTGGATTGGGTGGCAGAAATTGATTTGTGATAAGAAGATGGGAGGAATTGGCTTTAAAGATTTAATATTTTTTGAATACGGATTTTCTCTCTGCTACTCTTGGTACTAGACCATCGTATGCTTGGCGCAGCATTCTCTTTGCTAGACGGCCAGTTAGTTTGCAGCCTTTGATGAATATTAATCTGAAAGTCCACCAGTTAATTGATCCTCGTTCCAGAACCTGGAAACTTGATGTGTTGCAAACTTTATTCCCTTTGAATGATGTAAAGCTTATTCTCCAGCAACAACCTTGGTCAGGAACTGCGGATTTCTATTGCTGGTCGGGTACTCCTAGTGGGATCTATGATGTCCAATCCGGATACAAATTGAGTAGTAACATTGCTCATAAGCAATTGTTCTATGAAGCTGGAGAATCTCCTTCAGTGAATCCAATTTTAGACAGCATCTGGCATCTTCATATTCCATCAAAAATTCAGTTGCACGACAGGTTTGGGCCCTTTCCAATGTACCTTCTCCTTATCATGGGTTTGGTTTCTCTGTCTTTACCAACATGAATCATTTATTGCAAGTCTCTCAACAACAGTTGATTCCTCAAGACATAAAACATTTGGCTTTTTGGATCATTTGGAATCTCTGGAAAAACCGGAATAAACTTCTATTTGAAGGAGACATGGTGCAGGCTAATTTTATTTCAGACAAAGCAAAAGAAGAAGAAAGACAATGGCGTTTTGCTCAAACAGTGGGGGTGCGTACGGTCAAGGAAACAAACAAGATAGAACAGTGGCAGCCGCCTTTACTTGGAGAGGTAAAATGTAACATTGGTTTCTCTTGGAAAAAGAAACAAGCCTTAGCTGGGGTATCTTGGGTGGTTAGAAATATGCATGGAGAGGTTCTTTTACATAGTCGCAGATCTTTCACACAGGTTCACTCTCTCTTTCAAGCTAAACTTCACAGTTGGCAATGGGGTTTAGAAAGTATGAAAAGCTTGGGATTCTCTAATGTACTCTTTGCTGCTTCAACTCATGAAATTATCAATGCACTTAACAAGCCAAAGGATTGGCCGGCTATTATTGGTCACATTGCTGAATTGCTGAGTTTTACAAAAGATAAACCAAAATGGGTTATTATGATGGAACCTCTCTGTTGCAATCAAGGGGCTATGCAGATTGCCACAAGTGTTGTTACTGGATTTAGACTTCAATCTTACGTTGCAAGGAGAGCTCCTCAGTGGCTACATAATTTTTTTGAAAATGAAAGGCTCTCATGTAACCAAGTCTGATACGGTCTGCAGTGATTCTATTGGAGGAAGTAAGTTTGATTTTTGACTCTATATACTTCTATAGGAAGAAAACTAAGGTCGGTGTTTCTTTTGGTGATGATTTCTTTTGTCTTTATTCTTTTTGGTTGTATCCTTTTATTAGTTTTCATATTATCTTCTTTTCTAATTTATTCTTATCTTTCTACTGTTTCTTTTTTGTTTTTCACTCCAGTAAAGATTTTGCGTTCTTTGAGAATTTTTTGGTCTTACTTCTCGTCTTTAATTTGAATTTAATTATGGTCACCTCCTTCGTTTTACGTGGGAGATTATCTCTTCTTCTATTTTTTCTCCTTTTTTTCTTTTTCTTTTCACTTCTTCTCTTTTCCTATAAATACTTCTTCATTGCTTTTTCCTCGACCTTAGACACAAAACTTTACCCTCTGTTCTTACTTACTTTCTTCAATGGCCGATGACTTGTGGGATGAATTGCAAAACATGGAATTGGGAAGGGATGATCCAGAGTTGTTCATTCCTTATCTGGCCTATGAAGAAGCTGTGGATCGCAATCGACTGAGCATACTGGCAAGACCTCTGAATCCAACAGCGCAGAACCTTTTCTCTGTTGTATCAGCCTTACCACGATCTTGGGGCCTAACTTCCAGAGTTCATGGACGTGTTATTGATAGTAATTATGTTCAATTTCTCTTTAACTCGGAAGTTGATCTCCTCTCGGTGCAAAGACGTGAACCATGGAGATTTAACCATTGGTTTGTTGCATCCCAACGTTGGGAGGACTACCCAGCGTGGGATTTTCTTACTACAATTGATCTCTGGGTGCAAATTCGAGGTATTCCTTTACCTTATGTGTCATCAACTACAGTGAGGATAATTGCAGAGTCTCTTGGTCAGGTAATAGCACTGGATTTTCAGGATACAATAACTGATCATATAAGGTTTATCAGAGTAAGGGTTAGATTTGGAGTTACGGATAGTCTTAGGTTTTTCAGAAGGATAAGGTTTGAATCTGGTGAAAGAGCCCTGGTTAGTTTTCAGTATGAGAGACTACGTAGGATTTGTAGTCACTGTTTTAGGCTAACTCACCACCGGAGCTACTGTCCATACCTTCTTATTCCAAGACACAGTCCTGAAGGTCCTGATCTATCTGTGAATGGACACCATGAGGTTATGGATGAGATGAATAGATCAGATTTGAACTCACAATCTCAACTCTCTGATAGCTCTTTGGCCAGTCCAATTTCCCAGCCTCCTCAGATGTCTACTCCACCGGCGGATTATGATGATATGTCAGAGGCTCTCCCCTCCTTCCATGGTTCTAGTGCTGATGATACTGACGTCTTTACAGTCCCTGGACCACGTCCTGGTCATAGAAGGCGGCATCTTTCAGAGCACTCTCATAGTAGTCTCCATTCTGATGGATGTGTTCCTTCAATGGGCTTTACAAATTTAGAGCCAGGGGAGTCTTCCAAAAGAAAGAGCTCAAGTGCATCACCTACGGTGTCTGACCAAAGACTGAAGAAGAAGTATCCAGGTATCATAATAACAGAAAGCCAGCTGCCACCCAAGAAACGTTAAGTACTTGGAATAAATGACCACTCCACTAAAGAAAAATTCGGTCACACTTTTTGGATCTGCAATGGATTGCAGATTTTACTGTTCCCTTTACTTACAGTCCTAAGTTTAGTTTGACAGGAAAATGGGTGTAGTATAGAACTGGAAATAAAGGTTGATGGGTGTAGTATAGGTCTGGATAAACGACTGATGTGTGTAGCATACTGTTTGGTAGCTTTGGACATAGGTGCTTGCTTGATGAAGTCACAGTTAAACTGCAAGGGTTTTTTGGAAGATACTCATAAGCTGTATGCTTAAGAAGTATGATCCCTCATATTAGTTTATCTGAAGCAGAAGTTACAATGAGTTTTAACATTCTCTGAAGCTAGCTTTGTAATAATGCTCCCACTAATATGATGTAATACTGTACTGTGGTTTACCTTGTAATTAATAAAATCAACTTTTTGTGAAAAAAAAAAAGATAAGAGAGAGAAGCCTCAGAGTTTCAACTTTCAAAAGTCCTTTTTTTTTTTTTTTTTTTTTTTTTTTTTGTCAAACCAACTTTCAAAAGTCCTATCTTCCCAAATACTAGCGATTAAGGCTCACCAAAGACCAATCAGAAAATTTTATTTTTTTGGTTTAATTCTTTAAAAATTTAGACCAAAATCACCAACGGTGACAGCATTATTGACTGGTTGTTCAGAGAGACTTCACAAATCAAATACCAAACATTCCAATCCTTGATTGATTGATTGATTTCACAGTGAAGATTTCTATTCTAACGCTTGCTCTTCACATCTCCCAAATCTCCAGATTGGAGCAACGAATATGATTCAACCCTAATTTCAAGCAAAAGCCCCTCTTTTTACAAGTCTCGGAGATTACATACAGTCTTCACTCCAACAAACCAAAGAAGAAACCCAAACCAAAATGGCTAACGATCGACGCCCTTCTTCTGTCAATCCGACGACGGAGCAAGACAATGCTATGTAAGCTCATTGATTTACAAATCTAGAGCAACGTTTACGTCTTTTTCCTTCGTGATTTCGATCGTTTGATTTTTGAGCTCTGGATTTTTTGAGTTTCTTTTTGTTTCAAAGTATTTTGGTTTTCTTCCTTTTTTTCCTTTTCTTCAGAGTATTTTGCAGATTGGTCACTTCTCCTGTGTTTTTATTCTCATGTCTTTTTCTCACAATGACTCTTCTGATGATACTGTAACCATTCGAAAATATTGTTCTATATCCTTTATTGGCTCCTCATCTAGTGTTTTGTGATTGTAGGTTTCTTGATATACTGCATGAAGCTCCTCTATTCGGTCATCGAGAATCGAGAAGTCTCGTTGGAAGCTGCATTTATCTTATCATATTGGCAAGTGAATCCAAACTCTACTTTAACACAGAGTTTTGTAACATCCCCTTTTTAATAAGGAAGAAACATGTATGCCTGACTTTCTATTTACTATTTGTTCAATTTAGGCAGGTTATGCTATTTTAGCAGCAGGGGCACCGTGGATACTTCAGTCTGTAGAGTATCTTATCCCATCGCTGCTTTGCAGCTGCAATGTTGCTCTCTTGATGTTAACTGGTAACCACAATACTCCCCTTCAGCTTATTACTATAATCTTTGTTTACTACTGCCTAGTAAATTTGTAGTTAGAACAACATTTTATTGCTTTATTGTTACCTATACAAAGCATTAAAATCTATTTTCTATTATCATATGTCTATTTCTGTTTTCATGTCACATTTCAGCTTTAAAATATTCTGCCGTATAAATGATCATAAGTACTTTCTGCAACAGGTATGTTTCAGCAATATTTTGTCAATCAGGTCCAGAAAATACGCTTGCAGGTAACATTTGTTCTAACCAGGCGGATCCTGCTAATTTTATTTCTTTTGTAAACTATATAGAAAAAGGTTGGTGATTATCTCTAGTGTAGTTGTAATCATTTCATCTGAAGACCTTCTGAAAGAACCTTCTATTGCAGGGTTATTACAGTTTCAGTCAGAAATTGAAACATGTAGTTCGTCTGCCATTTGCAATCATGGCCTATGGTAATCTTTAATGCTACTTTCCCAATCATATATTGTTACATATATCTATTTCTTGTGCTCAATAAAGTGACTCCGTTTTGTTCTAGGGACTGCATCTATGCTACTTTTCATGGTGTGGAGACCATATGTCAGTGTTCTTCCCATTTTTACTGTGCAAAGGTCTGCAGCCTTCTGTTTATACATTAACTGCTTTTACATTCTTATGAGTTTTCTTTTCCAGTTGATCACATTTAACTGCTTTTACATTCTTATGAGTTTTCTTTTCCAGTTGATCACATTTTCTGTTTTCTTTCTTTTGTCGTTGATAATAAAGAATAGTAGGAAGATTCTGACTCAATCCTTTGACTTGTCTTGCTAAGAAAATTATTGCACATCACATAGTAAAACGTCTAAGTTAATGAGAAACTGTTTTCATTCACTCAGGTTGACAGATTTGACTTAACTTATTTACCAATATCTTGGCTAAATTTGAATGCCTACGAGAAGTTTAAGATTGATGCCATTGACTAGAAATAGTATTTGGAACCGGATAATGTCTTGCGTATTCTTATTTTGGAACAATTTGGTGAAGTAAGTTTAGTTTTGGCATGGTCGAAAAAGCTTACGAGTATATTATTGTTGCAGGTTCATCATGTCTGTTGAAGCAATTTCTGCGGCTTCTTTTATGATTGTATTTGTTGGTAAGCATAAGGTCCAGATATTTGTTGGCATGCATTCAGCCTCATTTTAGTATCTCAACTAGAGCAGTATAATGCCAAATAGATTCACTTTCCAGTTGCGAGATATATGTAATACACCAGGTTCAGCTGTTATGCCAAGTGTCAGATTTAGAATCAGTTTTCATTTCTTATTCACCTGACCCATAAGGATTAACTGAAATCATTCCATTGCATCTGGGCTCTATCGCGATCATTTGCATGCTAAATCAGTATCAAATTGTTTACATCTACGGTCATACATTTGTGTTTATATTTATCATGTATGCAGTTCTTGCAATTGGCTATTGTTTGTGGATGAATATCAGGAGATCATTGAAGTATCTTTAATAATTGCTGTTCTGGGTTTCAGTTTGAAAACTCTTTGCTCTCAATGCAGAAATTTCCATACCGTGTATTCGGAAAAACGATTGGCTAGAGCATATTGCATTCTTTTGGCAGCTTTTCTTACAATATTTCTGCCAGTTGTTTGTCTTTAGTAAGAGATTTGTGTAGCTAGGTTATTATGCAGCTCTTCTTATCTGTATTTTGATACTGATAGGTTATGTTCGCCAGTATAACTCAGTGAACTCTCAGCCCGATGTCTTAAATTCATTATATTCTCCTCTTCAACCAGCTGCTTTGGAAGGATTGAGGTACTTTCACAATCTCACTGAAACCTTATTCCTAGTATTTATGAAAACTTTTCTTAACATGGCAACCTTGTATTGCACATGGCAATGCTTTTACGATTCTCAAATCTTACTTCGTTTTGTTTGCTTGAAATACAGATACCATGAAGCCGGTCGCCTTTCTGATCAGCAAATGGCTCTACTGCAATATCAGCGCGAGAATCTCCATTATCTCAGTGAAGAGGTGACAATACATGGAATATTTATCATGAGTACTTCATTTCTGAATCTTGATGCCTGTGTTGTTTCTTACTAGTCTACAGTTTTGTACTAGTAATCCTAAGTTCAATGCTCTCTCTAGTTCTTCATCGTCTACCCCGTGATTTCGCTAGAGTGAGTTTCTGACCTCTCTTATTCTTGTTTCAGATTCTGCGTTTGCAGGAGTCCTTAAGCAAATATGAGACCAATGGTAGTGGCACGCCTCAGGTTTGAACTGCTCCATTGCGAATTAATGACTTATTTGTAGCAGAGCTTTAAGGGTGGATACATGCTAACAACATTCTTGATAATTTTCTTAAAATCCATGTATTTCCTTCCACTGGGCTTTTAATTTTGCAATTGATAAATGTTAAACTTTCAGGTTGATTTGGCGCATCTTGTGGCGACTCGTGATCAGGAATTGCGAACACTTTCTGCTGAGGTAAAGCTCGGTTAATAAATAAACTTGCAAATTTCACAATATTAAGTTTTCTTTCTCATCTCTCTTTTACCCATTTGGTGGAAAACATATCATAGTTGATTGACATTTCAAGGCTGATATCCTTTATGTAGCATCTTTGAACGAAGGAGTATAGTAAATGAAAATTGTGTGTTTGCAGGTGGATCAACTCCATTCAGAGCTTAATCTCGCTCGATCTCTGATCTCTGAGAGAGATAGAGAGATACAGCACGTCCGGAATACCAATAATCAGGTTTGAGTCTATCTAGAAACATAAGAACATATGAGAACAAAACATACTTTCCACCATCACATGATGTATATCAAACACAGTTCTACCATGAAACATTTGTAAGGGCTACACATTTTTCGGATCTGTGAAACTCATCAGCTTCTGTTTTTGAAACTCCTGAAACAGTATGTTGCAGAAAATGAAAGGTTAAGAGCTATCCTTGGAGAATGGAGTATGCGAGCTGCAAAGGTACGTTTTAGAGATGCAATATGATTGTGAAAAGTCATAAGTCATTCTATAGTTTCCTTCCTATATTGAGTTTATCGAATTTAATCCCCTTTTGTTTAATATGAGGCTAACAAAATCAATGGATTGTGTATAGCTTGAACGAGCTTTGGAGGTGGAGAGAATATCAAATCTTGAACTGCGGAAGAAAGTTTCGGCTCTCAGAGACCAGAGGCAAGTGGCATGAAGCATAAACATTCATCTAACTATATGTACCTCATATGGCTTGTAGAAAACTATCTTGACACTATTTTGTAACATCTTCATATACATATTTGATTAGAATGAAACTCTTTTTTTTTTTTTGTTAAATTGAATAAGCTATTAAGCTTTTATGATGTAATGATTTTCCAGTTAATTTGACCTCTGCATATGTAATGAATTCATATGATTAATTTAGTCATATAATTATTGTAAATCTTCTGGCGAAACTTAGGAAAAATATATTTCTTTTTACAAAATTATATTAAGTATTTAATTTATCAATTAAAAAATTAAAAAAAAATTGGGATAATAAAAGGATATTTATCAATCTTAAGATTAAAAAAAAATGTAAGATTAAAAAAAAACGGTAAAGTTAAGTGAATTATGGAAATTTACGGGAATCTAATTCCCCCGAAAGCCCACTGTATAGGCAAAGCCCAAAGCTGCTTTATTTATTTCTCTTTTTCTACTCCCGTCTTGTGTCAATCTCTCTCTCTCTACAACAAACCAAGCGATAGCTCAAACTTTGAGATTTTTCTTCGGCTTTTCTAGGGTTTTAATTTTCCTTCCGATCAGAGATTAATGGCGAATCTCGACTCCGACGTCACCATGATTCCTGCCGGAGAAGCCTCCAGCAGCGTAGCCGCTTCGTCTTCCAACAAGAAAGCTAAGCGATTCGAGATTAAAAAGTGGAGCGCCGTTGCTCTCTGGGCTTGGGGTAACCGCGATAATCCTTATACTATCTTGAATATGTCTTTCGATCTTTTTCTTTCTTTCGATGTTAATTTTGGTTAGGTTAGAGTTTTATTTGATTGATTTATCTTTTGTTTTGGTTGCAGATATCGTTGTTGACAACTGTGCGATCTGCAGAAACCACATCATGGATCTGTGTAAGTCCATGAACAATCGATTGATTATGGAATTTGTTACGATGAGATTTACTGAGTTTTCCGAATGTTTATGCTTATTTCGTTATTGTGTTTTGGATTGTTGTTAGGCATTGAATGTCAAGCTAATCAGGCCAGTGCTACAAGTGAGGAATGCACTGTTGCTTGGGGTAAGTCTTGCTTCTTCTATGATCTTGATCACAATCTTTGCTATCTGTTTGGAAACTTGATTTGGTTTACAATTGCAGCTATCGTAATTTTGTATCTAGAAACACAGAATTGTATGCAACTTAGTGTTGTGTGAAACAATTCTAGTATCTCTTGAGTGTGTTTTTAAAATCTTGACATTGAGTTTTACTTATGTGGTAGTATCACTCTGATAGATGTCTTTGCTTTATTTGAGAGGAGAACCTATCTTTGTTTTGCAGCAATGTAGATTGGTCAATGAGTAGTACAGTTGATTAGATTTATGGAGTTTTAAAGATTTCTGAGAGAGAGAGGGAGAGAGTGGGACCAAACTCTAGTTATTGTGTTTGCAATTTTGCATGCTTTTACAATCTTGCAATAGTGGGTTGTATGATTGATGATGAATTAGAAACTCAAAGGATGACCAAAATCACTGTATTACGTATCTCTGTATTCTCGATTTCCCAATGAAGTATGACCAATTTGAGGTTGAATCTTGTTAGCTAGGAAGTGTTAGAGAAAGTAAGAAGTTTTCATTTAAGATGTATGTGATTGTGTGAGGCACCTATTTGAGGTTGAATCTTGTTAGCTAGGAAGTGTTAGAGAAAGTAAGAAGTTTTCATTTAAGATGTATGTGATTGTGTGAGGCACCTATTTTAATCCTTATTCTATAATGTGACAACTCAAGTGGAAATACATACAATGGTTAGTGCCTTCCCTAACTAAAGACACTCAATTCGTGTACTTGCAGGGGTTTGCAATCACGCCTTCCACTTTCACTGCATCAGCAGATGGCTAAAGACTCGTCAAGTTTGTCCATTGGGTATGTGTTTCTCGGTTTTATGCTTCTTGAATAGTTTGCAGGTTTAGTTTGTTTACTAATATTGCTGAGTTTCAACAGATAACAGCGAGTGGGAGTTTCAGAAATATGGTCACTAAATCAACAAATGGTTCCAGCAAACATGTGGCTAATCGTGAAGATATCAGGTTCATTTGGTTACCACCGCATATGATAACTAAAAAGATTGTTCAAGTTTTTGCTTCTTTTTTTTTTTTTTTGCACTGTATTTCTCAAATTGTGGAAACAGAGATTTACTGTTCACTGAACCTATTATCGTTGTGCTTTGGGGTGACGTCTTTGATTTTAGAAAAGTTTTAAAAAAAAATCAGGAAAGAAAGTTTTACTAGTAAAAACACAGGAGCTGTGTAAAACACCAAAGCTCTTTTGATCCTCGATATGTTTTTCCTGCAATTTAGTAGTTCCAACTACCAAATACTAAACTGAAATTTCTTATAAGACTAACTCGAAACCAATTTAAATTTAAAATGAAAAGTTTTATTAAATGGGTACGCTATTATCGGCATTGCCATGGGTCTTTCAATCCCTAAACAACCATTATTAGAGCCTTATTTTGACAACCCAAATTCTTAAGAAAGTAAAAACTGAACACTTGAAGGATCAATAGAGCTTATACATTGGCGTCGTCTCAGTAGGATCGTATAACCCAAAATGCTGATAGATTCCAACTGGCTTCTGGTTCTCATTGTACGTCTCAAATATATACCCATCAATTCTACTATTTGGCCTCTTAGGCGTTCCTTTACCGCTTGCCACATGCTTCACAAAGTTACCAATGTACGTATATTGAAGAGCCGGCGTTGTGCAGAGGGCCATCCGGTCTCCGACACCACCAAAGGTAAACCTTTCACTCCCTCTTTCTCCATTGCCCACAGAAAAGCGTCGAAAATTGCATCAAACAAGTTGGAATATTTTAGTGCACCGTCCTTGACCACGATCTGGTCGGTATTGAAATTAGCGTACTCGAGAGGGACGTTCTTTGGGTCGGACGCATAGAAGTAGTAAGGATAGATATTGACGAAGATCGGTGTACTTGTTTGAGACAACAATCTCAGCACGGGGACAAGCTGTTGACGTGCTTGGGGTGTTAAAACTCCTGCGGAAGGTGGTTTCAACACAGCTAGACTCGTCGTAGTGACCGTGGTGCTGATCGAGATCGGGAGATTTCTCGACTTGACGAGGTTGGTGAGAGATTGAATGACAGGAAGCACGTGAGGGCCATATATGTCGCCCGGGATGGCTTGGTTTCCGACGGTAATAAATGTTATGTTGACGTCGGCTATGTAAGGATCAATGTTAGTGGCGAACCAGGATTTAACTGCGTCTTTGTTGGCTGCAAGAGCCGCCAAGTCTTCGTTCTTGATGCCTACGGTGACTCCGATCTCTCGGTTTCCACGCAAGGCGTTTAGGACGTCCTTGTTTGGCTCGAATATCCTGATTTTCGCAACGTTTTGAGATTTGTAGAACTTGATAACATTGGACGGAGATGGGAGGTTGTCTCCGAGGAGGCCGTAGTTCAATCCGACGACTGATGTCGTGCTTAAGGAATCAACTTTGTTGTAGCTGATAATCAACGCTACGCATGAGAGAAGTACTAGGAACAACTTCTTAGAATAGACCATAATATAACTTGTGTCTGCAAATATCAATAGCGCCAGAAAAATTATTGTATTAGAATATTAGGTATATACAGACGTATCACATTCACATACAAGAAATGAAGAAATACCACATGATCATACTTGCCTGAAGAACCAATTAAACTTGTTTTCTTTTTGTTTTGTTTCGTGTAAGCTTGCAAGTTTGAGTTTATATATGTCTGAGATACTGTTCCCTGTTTAATGAGTGTAAGATAGACCTTATACATGTCTAAGATATGTTTCTTAATCTTATTTTATTATGTTTATCTCTTATATTATTGGTATCCCTAAAACATTTTTTTCTTTATTTTCCTGGTTTGCTTTGGTGCTTGTCAGATTTATTTACAAATTTGGCTTTGTCCTTGTAACAGTTTACATTCACATACACCACACACAGAATATGAATTGAACCCACAGGATAGGTAATACAACGACATGACGACACCTTGCTAATGAATGTTGCTAACTCACTTAAGCAAAAACAAATTCAAATCCACTGCTAATTAATATGTTCGGTTGCTGATTCAAGAGTTTGTTGGTTTTCGAAAATTTTGCGGGTAGAGCAATTCGATCTTTGGAGTGTAAACAGGAATCCGAAGGCGATTGAAGGGTAGCTCTGGATCAAACTGTCTTCCGGGTAATTTTTACTAGAAAAGAAAATCATACAACATAAGAAATAAGTGTTATTGTGGATCTTGATCATATCCCACTCTATTACAACTACTAGAGCATCATTTATTGATGATTTGGGATAGTCTACTATTCAAGCTAAAAGAACAAACAATGGATTACTATGAATAAAATATAATCTTGAAAAAAAAAAACGCAAGTTTCAATTGATGAATGTTATGATCCTTTTTTACAACCTTTCTCTTCTAATAGTGAAAGTTGATTATAAAACACCATAGTTGATTGTTAAGCTTAATGGAAGTTATCAGTTTGATCAAGAAAAAAAAACACCAGAAGTTTGTGTATGTCAAAGAACGAGATATATAATTACTATACATATATTGTTTTAAGCAAAAAAAAAAAAAAAAAAAAAATTCAAATGCCATTACAAAGCCAACTCCAAACCCAGCTGAGTTCGGCTTCAAGATCTCTTTATGAAGAAGAAGGAAATCTTATAAAATAGATGGTAGTCTTAATCTTGCTTTTTGTCTCACTCTATTACAACTATTAGAGCGTTTAAAACAAGGGCCCTTAAAACAAACTCTAAAAAACGAGCTTTGTAACTAATGAGTTAGGGAGAGTCCAAGATTCAAGAATCTAAAATCAAAACAACTTGTAAATAGGCTTCATATCAGTAGGATTGTACAACCCAAAGTTCTGTTCAGTTCCTGCTGGTTTCTGATTCTCGTTAAAAGTCGCAAACAAATACCCTTCAATGCTACAGTTTGGCTTCTTCGGTGTCCCTACACCGCTTTCAACATGTTTGATAAAATTTCCGTTGTACGTAGCCGCAATCTCCGGTGTTGTTAAGTATCCATTACCGGCCGAAGGCCATCCAGTCTCTGTCACAACCATGGATAAATCCATCACGTCCTCTTTCTCCATTGCCCACACGAAAGCGTCGAAAATCGCATCAAATATGTTTGAATACTGCATTGGCCCGTCCTCAACCACGACATCTTTGGTGTTGAAGATGGCATAATCGAGACTTATGTTGACGGGATTTGACGAGTAAGCAAAGTAAGGGTAGATGTTGACGAGGATTGGCGTATTCGTTTGAGACAAGAATGTCAGCACAGGAACGAGTTGTTCACGCGCTTGAGGCGTGAACATTCCCGCGGAAGGTGGATACGACTGTCCGAGGTTCGACATAGCCACCACGGTGCTGATCAAGATCGGAAGACACCTTGACTTGACAAGGTTGGTTAGAGACTGCATGACGGGAAGCACTTGTGGACCGATTGGTCCGGGGATGACTTCGTTACCAACGGTAATGGAGGTGATGTTGACGTCGGATAAGTAAGGCTCGATGTTAGTCGCAAACCAGTCCTCAACAGCTACTTCGCTGGACGCAAGAGCAGCCAAGTCTTGGTCCTTGACGCCTACGATGACACTAATATTGGTGTTGCCACGTAAGGCGTTAAGAACCTCTGTGTTTGGGTCGAAGATTCGGATTTTGGTAACGCCTATGGACTTGTAAAGGCTGATAACATCGTATGGAGACGGGAGGTTGTCTCCGAGGAGGCCGTAGTTTAAGCCGACGTTTGTTGCTGCCACGTTTATGGAAACGTCATTGGTGTAGTTGAACAGAATTGCCGACAGCAAGAAGAAGATAAATATTCTAGGACACTCCATCACGAAACTTGTGTCTGCAAAATCAGTAGAGGTAGAGATTATATTATTTTCTTCAATTTCAAACATATACAATTTCTTTAACCAAACAAACATTTAAAATATTCATATGGATGTAAGCATGTAGAGAAATCAAAGGATATTACTTGTATGATGAACTAACGGAGACGGAGGAATCAAACTTGTTTATTCTTTTGTATTTCGTTGCAAAACATAGGTTCTAGGTTTATATATAGATATGTAGTTGACAAAAAATATTCCTTTTTTTTAATTAATATCTCTATGTAAAATTGTAAAATTGCATTATTGTTTCATTCTTTTCGTGGCGTGGATTTAGTTACCTATTTACAAATTTGGAGTTTTTCCTTCTACCAATTAGAATTTCCGTTCTTGTCAGTCTAGATGCAATGCTTTTCTATAAGTAAACTAGAAATCTAATGTAGTTGACAAAAACTCAACTGAAAAATCAATCTATGGCATACGGGCCGTAGTTTAAGCCGACGTTTATAAGGAGTATATATGCAGCTAAAATCTAACATGCATGCTTCTCTTACTCTTATATATATTGGTTCAAAGTTCAAATAAGAGCATCTCCATTGGTATCCCACCAATTTAACATTAATATTTTTGGTTAAAGTTTTGTTTGAGAACTCTATTTTAAATTGCATATATATTCTATCTCATAATTGGTGGGATACCCATTTGGATATCTTATCAATAAAATATTAATATTTTTAATATTAATTAAATTAAAATTTTCTTTTAAATTCCATTAATATATTTATAAACATATAAAATTATATCTAATATATCCATAATCTAAGTTTTGAAAGAAAAAAAAAACACTAGAAATGTTATGGATGACAATAATAAAGACATGAAGTCTATATATAAGGAAAGAAAGTAATAAGTATACATAAATTTATAAAAATATCAAAATGTAGTAAAGGTATATATATATATATATGTCAAAATATAATTTTTAATTCTTAAATCTCATTTTTTTAAATATTGTATTATTTTATTATTAAAAAAGAATGCTAATTTAATATTGCATTAACCTTAAGTAATATCAGTGAAAAATAATATTAATATTTAATTGAAACTTATACATAATGGTCTAATGGAGCTTTGTATGTAGATAAATTTCTTTTATTATTTATAAAATAAAATAAAAGTAATGATATATAAACTATCTAATTAATATTTTAAATAAAAAAATTGATTTATCAGAAACAATAATAGCCACTAAAAAAAGACATGTGTATGAGAGAAATGGTTTCTAATGTAGATACATGGCGTTCTCAAATGAAAACCGGTCCTAAAAAAGTGGTCTTAAGAAAGTATTAATTTATTTATTTTTGATTTAATTTTAATGAGAATCTCTTAACTAGAGACTCCAAATGGAAAAGCTCTAAGGGTGAAAAAAAATAAGACATCTTTGATTTTCTATGTGTATCATGTATTCATATCCAAATTCATGAGCTCTAATAAAAAAATGTCAACATTTATGTGGATATATAATTAAGAAATATTATGTTTTAATTAAATTTAAATAACTTTTTTTTTGTACAAAGTAACAAGAATAGAAAATAAAATGCAAAAAATAAATAATCATGTTCATGAATAATTTGTCATGAATTTATCACATGATATTGTATTATTGGCTCTAGATCTATTCTTATGTCAATTAAGACCAACGTTTTAAATGCAAAAATAGAGTTTTGATTGATTGATTTTTGTTTTGGTTGTAGATAACGTTGTTTACAACTGTACAAATATGCAGAAACCACTTCATGAATCTGCTGTGTAAGTTCAAGAACAACCGATATTGATTGAGCAATTTGTGTTTACCCAAAAAAATACACAAACTATTTTTTTTTAATTAGTATAAACTTTTTTTTTTATCTGGAAGTGCAAAAAAATCATATATTTTATGAAATTCTCCCTATATGAACCTATTTTCATAACATAGGATTTGAAAAGTAAACAAAAAAAGACTTGCTTTCACGCTTGTTCTAAATGGAGTTCGTTTACAATTTTAAAATAAAACTGTACATGTAACTTTAATTTTGTAAACATCTACCAAATCTGTCATTATATATTTTGGTTAACTAATTTAAACTATTTCGCTCGATTACTAGTTGACTAATACATGGTTAAAAAATATTTTAGTCATTTATATATATTCTATCAATATAATTTATTTAGTCATAGTTTATTTTAAAAAAATTATACATGCTGGATAAATTTCTATCGAAATCTGAATTTGGTTAAACATTACTGAATATGACATAATAATATGAATTTTTCTGGGAAGAAAACAACTCTTCAAAGTTCGAATATAATGTTATCACAAATTCACAATACTGTATATACATTTTTCTCCCGGAGCAACGTGATTCTTGTGCATATTAAAATAGTGTTGTGACTGTTGTCTTTGAGTTTAGTAGCCAAACCGAGGACAAAGTCAACTTGCTCTTTAGTCCCAAAAACGCTCATCAGATTCAAGATCAGTAGCAACAATGGAGAAGCCAAAGTTCAAGACTGTCCAAGAGGTGGTTGCAGCCGGCGAAGGACTACCGGCTAGATATCTCCAAGCACCCACCGGCAACGACAATGGTATACCTCTTAACGCCTCGATCCCGGAGATGGATATTCCGGCGATCGATCTTAGTCTTCTCCTCTCTGCTTCTGAAGATGGTCGAGAAGAGCTGAATAAACTTCACTTGGCGCTCTCTACATGGGGCGTTGTTCAGGTTTGACTAGACCCTCTTAGTGATGAACAGAGTCTGTAGAAGTTCTTGTAAAATGAGACTATGAGAGTATTCGATTTCTTATTGATGCAGGTCATGAATCATGGGATTACAAAAGCGTTTCTTGACAAGATTTACAAGCTAACCAAGGAGTTCTGTGCACTTCCGTCCGAAGAGAAACAGAAGTACGCGAGAGAGATTGGTAGTATCCAAGGATATGGAAACGACATGATTCTGTGGGATGATCAAGTTCTTGATTGGATCGACCGTTTGTATATTACTACTTACCCTGAAGATCAGATACAACTTAAGTTCTGGCCTCAAGTCCCAACCGGATTCAGGTAAACTTTAATATACCTTTGTTCATTTACTTTGATGATTTTGACAAATCGTTTGTTCAGGGAAACTTTACATGAGTACACAAAGAAGCAACATCTAGTGATTAAGCAAGTCTTAAAAGCCATGGCTAGATCTTTGAATTGGAAGATAATTGCTTTCTAGACATGTGTGGAGAAAATGCTACGATGGATACATGTATCCTCCATGTCCGAGGCCGGACAAGGTTATCGGTGTTAAACGGCATGCTGATAAGTCAGCTTTCACTCTTCTCTTGCCCGACAAAAATGTAGAAGGGCTTCAGTTTCTCAAAGATGGGAAGTGGTATAAAGCTCCAATTGTCTCTGCAGATACAATTCTGATCAATGTTGGAGATCAGATGGAGGTAATCATTACGCTTATGATTTTGAAAAATTTGATAATTGATATGTGTAGATTTGACATAAATAATCTCTATTTCTCGTGTGTTTTAAGATAATGAGCAATGGGATATACAAGAGCCCGGTTCATAGAGTGGTGACTAACAGAGAAAAAGAAAGAATATCTGTTGCAACTTTTTTCATTCCAGGTGCAGACAAAGAGATTCTGCCTGTGGATGGGCTTGTGTCTGAGGCAAGACCAAGATTGTGTAAGCCAGTTAAAAACTATGTGGAGCTCTTAAACAATTACTATCTACAGGGTTTAAGACCAATAGCAGCTTCGTTGATCTGATCACACTTTTCAAGTCTCCAATCTGGTTACACAAATTTCATGACTTGATCCTTTATAAGAATAAAACTGTTCCTTTGTTTGTTGAACCTATTGAGAATATCACAAGGGTCCGAAGTTCATCTTCCTAAAACACATTAAGGTCTAGGTGTGATTGTGATTTGAAACCAACTACAAATCCAGCTGAGTTCTGATTCAAGATCTCATTACTGATTCAAGATCGCATTACCAAAAGGAAAAGGAAATCTTATCAAATGGATGTTATAGTTAACCAAAACCAAAACAAAGCCCACTCTATTACAACTCTTTAGAGCGTTTAAAACAAAACCAAACAAACTATTAAAGCGTTATAACTAATGAGTTGGGGATATTCTAAGAATCAAGATTCTAAAAATCAAAACAACTTGTAGATGGGCTTCATATTAGTAGGATTGTACAATCCAAAATTCTGTTCAGTACCAGCTGGTTTCTGATTCTCGTTAAAGTCGAGAATAAATACCCGTCAATGCTACTATTCGGCCTCTTCGGTGTCCCTTTACTGCTTTCAACATGCTTGACAAAATTTCTGTTGTATGTACCCGCGATACGCGGAGTTGTAAATTTCCCCCTGCCCGCGGAAGGCCATCCGGTCTCTGCCACCACCATTGGTAAATCCATCACACCCTCTTTCTCCATTGCCCACACGAAAGCGTCGAAAGTCGCATCAAATATGTGTGTATACTTCATTAGCCCATCCTCGAAAACGGGATATTTGTTTTCGAAGATGGCATAATCGAGACTGACGTGGTCGGGATTGGACACCAAAGCGAAGTAAGGGTAGATGGTGACAAAGATAGGCGTGTTCATTTGAGACAAGAATTTCAGCACAGGAACGAGTTGTTCACGCGCTTGAGGCTTGAACATTCCCGCGGAAGGTGGGTAGGATTGTTGTAGGTTCGACATATCCACTACGGTGCTGATCAAGATCGGTAGATTCCTCGACTTGACAAGGTTGGTGAGAGACTGCACGACGGGAAGCACGTGAGGACCGATTGGTCCGGGGATGACTTCGTTACCAACGGTAATGGTCGTGATGTTGACGTCGGCTAAGAAAGGCTCGATGTTGATCGCGAACCAGTCCTTAACAGCTTCTTCTCTGGCCGCAAGAGCAGCCAAGTCTTGGTCCTTGACGCCTACGATGACACTAATATTGGTGTTGCCACGTAAGGCGTTAAGAACCTCTGTGTTCGGGTCGAAGATTCGGATTTTGGTAATCCCTATGGACTTGTAAAAGCTGATAACCTTGGACGGAGATGGGAGGTTGTCTCCGAGGAGGCCATAGTTTAAGCCGACGTTTTTTTCGACCACGATTATGGAACCATCTTGTTCTTGTGGGTAGTATAATTTGAACAGAATTGCCGAACACGTGAGCAGGAAGAAGACAAGTATTTGCGGACAGTTCATGATGAAACTCGAATTCTGCAAAATCAGTAGAGTTAGAGATGATAATTGGATTATTGTATGTCGAACAGATACAATTTTCGTATGTGAGACATCACAGGGTCTTACTTGTGTGTGAAGGAGACGAAGGATCTTGTTGAAATAATATTTTTCACAAAGGCTTAGGTTTCTTATTCACATTGTAACATATATTTATACATAAAAGAGTGTTTCCTAATTTTGATAGGATTTCCTTTTACTTGATAAGATCAAATCTATACTTAACATATATCTTAGCCCAATTAATACTTGTTTTTTTTTTTTTCGTTGCAAAACATATGTCATATTTTGAGATGAATTTCCTGTTTTATTAATCTCAAAACCGTAAATTTGCATAATTGTTTGTTTGTTTATTAAGATCTTCTAGATCCTTCTATAGTTTCTTCTCGTGGCATTATTTATTAGTTTTCTATTTACAAATGTGATTTTTTTCCTTTTACCAAATAATATTTCCATTTTTGCAGTCTATATACTTTTCCATAAGTAAATTGAAAATCCAAGTCCAAAATTTAACATTTTCACGAACCGTCATGAATATATCACATGATATTATATTTTGCTCTAAAACTGCGAAGAGACATGTCCATTAGAGCCAAAAGTTGAATTTATAATTAAGACCAAAGTTTGAAGTCTCAGCTGATGAGTTTATTAACGTTGTAAACATCACATAACTATAATGACATCAAGTTCTATACTTAGTATCGGTGTGCATGTCTTAAAGAAATATAGAAGTCGTATTCTTCTACGAGACTACGACACATAGAAACATTGATTGGTACTAAAAAAATTGAAGAACAGACAAATTTTAAAAGAACCAAGGATACACATATGGAGCAAAGAAGACAACATTATATATTTTCCAAGCTTTTGCAATCTTTTTTAAGGAAGAGCATAAGAAACCTCCTTAAAAAATATTCCACTATTGATATTTTGAGATTTTTGGGAGGCACAATGAGTACCTGTGGAAGAATTACTTGAGCTGGAAGAAACAAAAAACTGTATACCGAGAGAAATGAGGAAAAAACAAAACCCTTAGATGCATCGAGACCAGATTTAGAATGATGATGACAATTCACAAGTATTGTTCATGTATCCTTGCTCTGTTCTCTTCCCACCATAATCTCGCGTGCATCTCCCCGAATCTTTCTCGGCTGTGCAATGCAAAAGAAAATACAGTTTGAGTGATATACATTTCAGAACCGATGGATAAACCCGAGTTTTGAAACAATGTAAAGAAGTTTAACGGTACCTGAATCTGACTCTTCTAAGCTCTCTTTTCCCACCTGGTAAACCTTTAATGGTGATATAAACGCCAGGCTCATCTTGCTCCACCCATTCGTTGTCAACATCACTCGCATTGCTCACCGACATTTCCTCTGACCTGTCTGCATCTCTTGACGAGCTGCTTCTTATATATGGAAGCATCTATGGAAGAAGTTTCTGTCTTGGCTACACTGATGCTTGAAACTTTAGGAGTTGAGTTGAGTAGGCCAATCAATCAAAAATTTGTAGAAATAAAGGAAAAAAGACATGGACGAAGAAATAGCGACAACAATGGTCAAAGCTACTCCCTCTGTTTTTGAAAAGTTGTCGTTTTAACTGTATTTAGACAAATTAAGAAAAGGTATACAATGACTATATTAACCTCATAAAAATGACAAGTAATTATTTACAAATAATTTGTGTTTAATTAAATGAGGGTAATTTGGGTAGTTATTGGCATAAGTTACATTATTACCTTAAAACGACAACTAATTTAAAACAAAAAAAATGCTCTAAAACGACAACTATTCGAAAACGGAGGGAGTAATAATTAAGAAATATGATTGTGGTCTACACAGTAAAAGAAAATAATGGTGGAGGTGGGTAGGAGAGAAATTTCTCCAAGCAAACTCAATTTTTAATCCCCTTATTATTAAAAGGGAAGTACAAATTGAAAATGGTCTAATTTGGCCTCAATTTCAATTTCAATTTTGGATTTTGTACATTGTTAATTAAAATCGTCAAGGGTAATTTAGTCATCAAATCTCATTAAAAGATTAAGATCAGCGTGTTTTTTATATGGGTGGGTAGTGAATCAAATATTTCCGAATCCGAAAATGAATATCTAATCGAAATTTTACCAAAATCGAATTTTAAAAAAAACTTTAAAAAACACGACCTTTGTTTTGTGTGTGGCTCAAATCGAATGATAGATGTCGGATCTATCATTTTTTTTGACAAATTCAGTTAAATCGGAGGAGATAATCGGTGAAAACAAGTTAAAACGGCCATAGATTACGGCGCCTTGAACTTGGGTGCTGCTCCTAAACACGTAGAAGAGTAACCAACTGAGCTTCCCGAAACTCTTGGAATGTTTATGTAAAAAGAATATATAACCAACATTTTATAGGATAGTTAAAGAGTATTTGGATCATTAATTTGTTTCCCTAATTGGTTTGCTTATGGATCGGTAATTGGTTTTGGTAATCGAATATTGTATTTAGTGAAACTTAAATTATATTAATTATGGGAACCAATTTTATAGATTTTGGGAACAACTTTAAATAATATTCCTTAAACACACTATATTCAATACTTATCACCAAAATATTGATTTTTCAAAGATTTCAAAAAACTAAATCTAAAAAATCAATCTAAAACAAACCAAATATATAATTATTAATTTTAGATATTTTTATTAAAAATATTATGTTGGTAAAAATATTAAGAGCTCGCGAATCAATTAGTGGAACGGATTAGAATTAGCATTAATTCGTAATTGTGCATATGGATAGTTAAACTTAAAAATCAATATTCGATATATCAAAATCTGGTAAAATCACACATTTTCTGGATATTATTTAAACTAACAATCTTAATTGTCTATTAAGACTTTCCAAATAAAAAAGCAATAATAACGTAATGATTATAAACTCTGATTTAATTAAAAATTTCACGAATAACATTCCTAAACTAATGTTTCTTGCAAACTGAATTCTATAAGTTTCCATATCATATAATTCGAAAAATTCCTCTACAAGGCAAAAAATATAATTTTTTTGCAAACAGAATATTCCTTTCTAAAATCCCTAAATCGTCACTTCATCTTCACTATATAAGAGCATGTCATTCTACTGAAACGAAATATCATTATACTAACCCCGATTTCGTTTCATTTGTTTAATTCATTTTTTTAAATAACTTTTTTGTTTATAATTTATAAAACTTTATTTTCATATTGTTTCTCACATTTGTTTTTTTTAATATTTATGCATGTATTGTGATGTGCGAAAGATGATAATGTAGATGCACAGATGATTTAGTTGAGGTATTATTCATATTTTTTCTATCAAGCTTTAATTGAAATGTTATTTTTTATAACTAATCTTTATTTTTTCTTTCTTATAGATCATTCTCATAATAAAAACATATTAGGAGAAGGATACTTTCTTTGAGACTACAAGGCATGATGATACTATGATTCTATTCTTTGTAAGACAATTTCATATGATCACAAATCTAATCAATTCTTTGTTGAAAACAGTTTACACATTCCATCATTATTTTATTGGATTGTACATATTCTAACATTTGATTTTTTAATCCATCAATTTTTATGTGTTTTTTTGAAAAACGTTTTGTTGATATATATACTCGAAATATATATGTCAACAAATTTACTTGACAATTTTTAAAAATAAGAAATAATATATTTGGAAATAAAATCTTCAAAAAATATCTAAAAACAAATTATTGGAAAATTTGGTCAATATCTAAAAACGTAGGAGAAAAGATATATTTTTAGATTTTATGAATAGTTTCGTTTGGGTTTTGCCAAAATTTTAAAAATGATCCGATTGAAGATTTCCGGATCAAAATTAAAAAAAAAAAACCGACCCGCAAAGCGGGTTAGAATTAGTATTTATTCGATAGAGAATGAGTTAAATGGAATTGTTAATGACCTTTGATACATCTAAATTTATAATTACAATACTAAATTGCACGTAACACGGGTTAAATTAAATTATATAGTTCTATTAATAATTTGAAAACTGTAAAAATAAAAAAAATTCCCGCGGTTCACCGCGGGTTAAATCCTAGTTTAATTTATTTTTGTTTACCAATCTCGAAACTAAACAAAACAAAAAAATGTGATTAGAGGACAAAGACGCGGAGAATAAGGAGTCAATAAAACAAAATTCTATTTATTAGAAAACGTTAAAAAAATATTGGTGAAAATGATTATAAGATTAGCATGTACCAAAGAATGATTTGGAATGTCTCATTAAACAAAATAAAGAAAGAAACATTTGTAACATCTAACAACTCAATAAAGAATTAAGTTATTAGCAAACTTATTGACACATTCTAGAGTGATTTCATACACCATGTATGACTGATAATTCATATATTTAATCAAAGTTTAAACAACGATTTTGAAGAAAACAAAAGGAGGAGATAAAAATGATTATCAATCAAATAAGTTTATATTGAAAAAAGCAAAAAACAAAAGACAGAATGAGAAGAGATGACCTAAGAAAGCACTTAAAAAAGGAGACACCCAATTTGGAGAGGAGGCCAACACAAAGTCAAAAGGCATTGTTGAATTGTTTTACTGGTCAAAGGGCTATAGAGATGATACTCCCACCCAATTTTGCTTTTTCTTTTTGGACCTTTACGGCCTTTGCTTCTCTGGATTTTGGTCAAAGGGCGTGAAGCGTTACTGTCGACAACTGTGGGTCCTATTCTCTATTCTTTGACTAACTTTTTCCCAATTTCACACTCAGAAATTACCCTTCTTCTAGCTTATTTTTTTCGGGAAAAAACCCGAAAAAATCGTCATTTAATTTTTTTTTGGCCGTTTAATACATGTAGTATTAAATTTGGAATAAAAATACCTAATTTAATTTTGGTTGCCTTATAAAACCTTCGTTTTTTTAAAATTGGTAAAATCGTACCTCCGAGTTAACGACTGTTAACTTTGCTAACGGAAACACTAACTGCGGTTAAAATTTAACCCATGATGTTTAAGTATATATATATGATCTCATTTCAATATTTTCATAAAATATTGTCGTAGCCTGGTGGTTTAATGTGGATTGACTTTACTTGTCAACCTGGGATCGAATCACCCCCTCCGTCTCTTTTACATGTTTTTTGATTTTTTTTTCTTTTATTTTTTTCCCAGGTAGTTCCGGGGGAGACATAACCAGGTCCGCTGCTCCAGTTCCGGCAGCTGATATCGCTAGCGGTTCCGGCTCCGGACCGAGTCATAGGCGGTTGTGGGTTAAAGAACTAACCACGGACTGGTGGGACAAAGTAAGCCGGCCTGATTTTCCGGAAGACGAGTTCCGGCGAGAGTTTCGGATGAGCAAATCGACGTTTAATCTAATCTGTGAGAAGCTAGACACGACGGTGACGAAGAAAATCACAAACTAGTCATCGAAGTCTGTCGCGCGATCTACGACGTTTTGATGATGAAGTATCTCCTTTGGCCGTCAGATTCAGAGATCAATTCAACGAAAGAAAAATTCGAATCGGTCCACAAAATACCAAACGTCGTCGGATCAATCTACACCACCCACATTCCGATCATCGCCCCGAAAGTCCACCTGGCGGCGTATTTTGTGGACCAAGCACGTACGGCAGATCTTGAAGCTTCACCAGCTGACCAAAACCACCTCGCAAAAAAAGTAGAGAAAAATATCAAAAAACATGTAAAAGAGACGAAGGGGGTCAATCGAACCCAGGCTGAGAAGTAAACTCAACCCACATTAAACCACCAGACTACGATAATATTTTCGTAAAGTATTGAAATGAGATCATATATATATACTAAAACGTCATGGGTTAAATCTTAACCACAATAACTGTTTCCGTTAGCAAAGTTAACTGTCGTTAACTCGGAAGTACGATTTTACCAATTTTTAAAAAACGAAGGTTTTAGAAGGCAACCAAAATTAAATTAGGTATTTTTATTCCAAATTTAATACTACATGTATTAAACGGCCAAAAAAAAATTAGATGGCGGTTTTTTCGGGTTTTTTCCCTATTTTTTTCTTAAAAAACATCAGCTAATACATTTCACTTACTGTCCTAATTTCGTGGGAGTGTTAATTGAGTTTAGAAATACACCAAAATTCATTGGCGACTTTTTTTACTCGATTTTAACTATTTTATTTTATTTCACCTACATAAACATAGTATTACTCGAACTGTTTGATCTTCCGTACAGCATTTTAAATCGTTGATCCGATTCGAAATCCAACTTTACCGATGACGTTGATGGATTGGTCTTGATCGGACCCTGTCCTTGTCCCTGACCTTGCGCCGCCGTGCACGGCGTACAATGCCGGTAAGCTCCTGATCCTTTAAGAGCCATATCTTTGAGCTGGGATTGAATTGACGAAAATACCCTCAATCAGAAGAGAGAATTACGAAAATGGAGACGGAGGAGGAGGAGGA